CCCCCCCCTGAAGCCCCCCCCCCCTCTAAATCCGCCACTAATATTATTTGCGAACATACTCCATGTGGAAGCCGTGTGCCCTCAATATTGGTGTGTGCGTCTAATATTTGAAAGCAGTACCAAGACTTGCACTGTTTAGGCCCACGTATATCGTACACAGGTTCTGACTTTACCTGTGGCTGGATCGCTGTATGACAGAGTTCCAATTAGTTTGTCACGATTCACACGACGAAGAACGTCCTTCACTGCATCGTTCTTGTGATGCCTCAGCAGCATTGCAGCTACAGAACTCACGTGCATACCTTAAGTAATAAATAAATAAATGAATGAATTAACAAATAAACATACAAATTAAGTAACTAATATTTTAATATAATTAATTTAGTCAAACTAAAATACATTGTTAATTTAATTGTTTTAGTATGGCGTTTGAAATCTTCGGTTGAGTATAAAGGATCTGCTTAATATTCAAATAATGTGGTTTTCATATTTCTTATTTCACTCATTACCAAGAACAAGGCTTATACCCATGATTTCATAACCAATGGCACCACAATCAACAGTCTATTATTAGGTAATAACAATTAGTGACTGAAATGAGACCATTGTGTTACCATATGTACTCACAATACACCATCGCCGTACTGGGACATCCGTATCTGGCGATTGTTTCCGTTACCATAGCAGCACACACGTGGTTTTCACCCAGCCCGCCAAGTTCTTTCGGTACGATCAATCCCAGAAGGCCTAGCGAGGTAAGGGCGTCCATGTTGGCTCTTGGAAATGCATAGGTTTCGTCAGATATTATCTAAATGAGAAGAACTTAATACTTTCACATTTGGGATGCCTTAATTTGTAAAGCTGAATACCAACAGTAGTACAAGGTGTGTGGATTTAATCTTACATGACCTAAACACGTACCCTCCTCTCTTCCGTAAAATATTGAAAAATAATACTAGGTGATTGAAAATTTATAAGAAAACGATTGGAATGCCTTATTAATCAAAAGGTTCGTAGGACCTCATGAAAGAGGCGAAAAAGGGCAAGAAAAACGTTTTACGACGAAAGCGGCATTCGAGAAATGTAGATGTGTTAATGTCACTAACGCAGTGCAAATGCAAATGTAGTCCCGGTGATGCGTGACCAGCTGCATTATTTATTATATATCCTGGCCTAAGGACATTTATTATGTATCCTGGCCTAAGGACATATATTCATCCAGTCTTTGGAAACATACAAGTGAGTGCGCGACTAAAATATGTAAAGATTTTAGGAAACCGCAGATGGCTAAAAGCCTATAAACTAGCGTGAGAATAATGGTGTGGTAGCACTGCGGAGCAAAAACATGTCGATCGCTCGAAGGTAGACGAGGATAATAAATTAATGAAAGCATCAGTAAATTCTGAAACTAACAGCTAGATGAAATGTTATTAAAGAGAAAGTGTACAATTAAATGGTTTTGCAAGGTATTCAATCGAACTTATTAAACAAAGAAATGTCTTCAGTTCTTTATGAAAATCATATGCTTAGCTTATGTTTTTAGAACTGGTGATAAATGATTCTTCTCATATGAGGGTGCATATCCAAAAGACTTTTTCTTAGAATGTTTTTAGCCTTGCATATTGAGGTTTAAATAATAATTTGTCCTTAGATCTTAACGTGCAATTCTGTGCATTTTTGGTACGTTTGTGTACGATCCCCTGGTTTTGGCTTCTTCTGACTGTATTTACAACGAAAAAATTTATACATGTTACTGTGTGTGTGTGTGTGTGTGTGTGTGTGTGTGTGTGCACTGATGCACGTACTGAAACCTGGCACTAGTCTTGAGGAAGAGCCTTGTTACGCAGTCAAACGTGCAAATGCTTATGTGTGCATGCGCGTTGGTGTGAAATTTCACATAAGAAACTTACAGCATTTGGACGCAAGGTAGTGCGACACAGCTCTATCAGCTTCTTCTGAATCTCCCTTTGTCCCTCCGTCAAGTCCCAGAGAGGGTCGTAGTCGGTCCCTATTCCCCAGAAAGGGCGGTTTCCCCACATTTTTTCGGAAGACATCTCTAGCTGAGGGATATTACTCCGATCACTGGATGCAGTGTGCCGCAGACGGACGCGAAGGGACGAGACTAATGTGCTGTATCAACCACTGCTGAAATATTTTTGTCATTGGTTACGCGTTCTTGATTTCAAGGACATCGCCTTTGGCAACGTTATTTAAGGACATTTATTAAAGTTAATCGGATGTTGGTGCAGACCTAATATCCATTAATTCAAGATATACATGGGTGTTTTCTGAACTTGGATTGGGGAATGATATTAACAGGTCTTTGTCGTTTTGCCGAACCGTGTATTTTTTATTGCTAACGTTACGTTGCAATACGAAGGGGGGTTTGGGGTGACAAATGGGCCTACAAAACTTATTTAAACTTATAAATGTTTAATTTTAAAATTTAAGACGCCACTTGTAAAAAATAGTCCACAATATAATAGTTCTAATATTAAAAACGCTAATGGAATGCTATTGAAGAAAGTTGCCTACATTAAACATGTACATGACTTCTTATTTTAATTAATTGCTAGCGCTGCGCCTATGATCATTTATTCTAAATATTTGTGGTCGTTTTTAAATTGGGAATTTAGGAGCGGAAATGGCGATATTTGAGAAGTTCTATTGCTTTGCTCTAGAGTTTTGTTTTTTTTTTTCTCACTTTCTGACTAAAATACATTTTACGAGGGTTACGATCACAAAATTAATAGCATTCGTAAGTCTTAGTCGTGCTCTGATTTTGTCACATAAAAATATATTTGCATGCACACCTTTCACATTCGCTACCACTTGGGGATAGGTTTTTGGTATACCATTGACATCAGTAGCAGGGAGCCACTCTGCGTGGTTGCCGACAAATGATATAAAGTGGATATACCGTGACACAAGTCTTACGTCTCACAAGTCTCACGTCACTTTCAAAAATGTGTCATCAATGTGGTAAAATCTTCCAGGTCCCTCGCCTTGATGTAGCATCTTGTTACGTACCTTTTAAATGGTTTTAATTAAGTGCACTTTAGTGAGCTTACTTCGAACCTGTTGTTATTGCATAGATGGGGTAAATAGAATGGGGTGTGGACACAGTAACGACCCTTCATTGGTCTCAATTTTTTTGCAAGTACTTCAGACAGTTACATAAATTCGAAAACCTATTGGAGACAGATATAAAGTGGTGAAGACCAAGAGAGACGACCGGGGAGACTATCAAGATCACTTGGACAGCACCTTTCATCCCCAGGGGGAACCCTGCGACCACCTCGTTGCGTGACTAATTTATTATTATTATTATTTAACATATATATTTAAAAAATGTCGATTGTAAACAATACAACACTGAACTACTGATTTCTCTAGCACACATACACACAAACAGGCCTTCAACAATGACATTCGAGCACGTGTTTCGGAACCGCGAATTTTATACAAATTTTTGCATGCAGATGGTGTCACCTCCTGGCTATGTTGGACCTACAGCTGGAATAATTGACCGATGCCGAAAGCACATTGTACTTTAATACGATTGACTTAAAATCATATAGTTTTACCTCTGCAATCTCTTTATTCAATACATAAAAATGTTGTTATGTGCGTTTGGAAAGTATATAGGCCGAGGGAACCCTCTAAAATATGGGTCAATATCCCAAAATACATGATTTAATACAAATAAAATGTTAGCATATGCTCATCCTGCATACAAAGTCACCCTGAGTAAAATATTTGATTACTAATTTACTTTTTGTATAGTTGTGTTTTTTAATCAAAAGTTAGAAAATAAGCATGCAGTAAATTCAATAATTTCGTGTCTGTCATGTCTCTTTCATCAAGGAAAATGCTTCGTATATATAGGCACGTAACTTCTGGCTAAGGACACTATTGGTGTAGATATGACACAAGCAAATATCTAAAACATCGGTGGCACCTCCATCCTCCCCGAACCATGTAGACATGTTTATACAGAGGCAAAGAGCTGAGACTTGGTGGCTATATGTACACAACCTCAGCAACAGAGAAAACACTGGGGGCCATATCACCAGACTGACAAAACGTGTTAGAAAGAAACGGGACGCCCATATACAGCAAAGTCTTGCGTGTTTTAGCAGTGGTCTTCGGACAGTTTGGCTTTCCGTCCGAACACAGAACGAAGCAACTCAACACCAAATGGCCCATAGATGTAGATGTCCTCGCTCTTGTACTGCAAGCCGTACAAAACATCCAGAATTGTGATGACAACATTAGTGCCAGAGCAGATGATGAATTTTACTTTCTTCCCGTTGGCTACAGGCAAGCACGGTTTCAACGAATCGGAATCGATCAATCCTTCAAGCCCGGACCATTTATCATCTGCTTCTGAAACACAGAATGTGGTCGTCAAGCGCTCGTCGTCTTCAGTGTAACTTGCAAGCTCGTCACGACAAAGGAGGTGGTCTGGTGTTTTAGCGTGGTAGAAGAATGACACGCGAGTTTTGTCGGATTTATTCTTTGCAACGGTTCGAAACAATTGTATGGCAGGCGTGGCGCTGACTCCAGTCGCAATCAGAACCAACTGATCCAGTTTCCCGGGTTCGTACTCAAAACCACCACATGGACCGTGGCACTCCATGGTGTCTCCTGTAAAGACAAAATAAATTATTCATGTAAAAGACCCTCCTTTATACTCCAACACATTACTAAAAACATCATATGTTAGTGAAAGCATACGTTGAAACAGCATTGGCTTTATTGGTGAACATTATTTTTTCCATGGGCTCAAAAGTTTTGATGTGGGTGAACCTGTTTTTGTGATGAGATTGTAATCAACATTTGATAAAACAGTTTTACATCATTTACCTATTTTCATCGCTTGAATGGCTTTGGAGAATAAACCGTGAGTCTCCAGGCGCATCCCAAACTCCATCACGCCGTAGTCAGAGGGTACAGACAGAGGTGACAGGTAGCGGTCATTACTTTTCCCATTCACATCAATCCGGGCCTGCACGTACTGGCCTGGCATGCACCCAGAATGCATTTCGGCATTAGGGAGGGCGAATTTCAGACGCACGATGTTGTCAACTTCGTTGGTGCGTTCAATAAGCTTCAGCGGGACAAAAGCGTCTGTTTTTAACCCCGGCAGGTGCGTTTTCCCGTCGACTCCTTTCAGGGCGCCCACGTGCTTTGGTGACCTTGCTGAGAAAGGGTCGTCGAAGTTGATGTCTTGGTTTGGTTCTGCACCGGTGCCCCCACTCTCCTGCAGAGCAATCTCTCGAAGCAGACGCTCTGAAAGAGCTTTCTTGTCCTCAATGTTCAGTTTCTTAATCTCTGCATTTAGGACGCGTTTATGAGAATGTTGGACCCTAAATCATAATAACATCAAATTTTTGTATTAAATATAACACAGCTACTAACTTCAACATAACATAACATAATTACACATATAAGGTATTGCTTATCACAGATTTTACATTATAAGTTACTAAAAATTGAACCCCCCCCCAAAAAACTTTTTCATTTCTTTAGATGTTTAAAACAATCACTGCTATGCTTTTTAAATTCATGTAAAATAATCTGGTGTCTATAGCTCCCCAAAAAGAAGATTTTGATACAAAGGCAATGCATGATTAAACTAATTGAATTGTCTACTTACCAGTAATCCAGTGCGTCCATCCCCAAAAGAGAGGTTTGTCCAATCCACCCACGTGTCACCTCGTTACTCGGACCCATCACCCATCCCGCCTTGGCGTCTCGGAGAAGACGCTCCAGACCTGAAAACGAATGCATGTGTAATGTAATCAACGTATTGTATACAAGATATCTATAAACAGAGATGAGTGCCATCTGCCTCGTTATTTCACGTCATTTTATCCAGCGTCAAACCATCCGCCATCGAGTAGACGCTCAACTATGACATCATCAGCTATGTAAAGTGGCAGGTGACTTACTATCGTAGGTACTTTTAGTATTAGATTTTTAAGCTTAATAAAATCATATCGATTCACACTGCTGCATATGAAAAAATACTTGGACTATTATAAAGCGTTTTGTCTGTGACTTTGCCGATAATGTTTTCACTTATAAAACCAGGTATCTGTAGCCCAATAAATAAATAGATGAATTTATAAATGAGTGATTAGCAAAAGGAATAAATAAATAATTGCAAATATATATTCTATCCTCTATCATTTAATATTGTGTATATATTCCTTCAGAGGTTATAATAGACTTGTGAACAATTGGCATCTCAACACAGATAAATTCATATTGGTATCTCTTTTTCTCAGCATATTTTTACTTTTTTATGTTTGGTCTACACGCAGAGCCTTCCGTCCTAACGTTTGACTCTTTTAAAAACTTAAAAGTTTTTGGCATTTCATCACCTCATGTTAAAGCGCACCGTGTTAATAAAGGAAAACGTAATATCTTACCGAGCTCTGTCTTGTACCCGGCCCCGCCACACACATGTAACATGGTGTCGGAAACCTCATTCACGTTTTTAGCCGACATGAATTTCAGCTGCCAGCCCCAGTGTAAAAATCCAAACCTAAAGTAAATTTCATATGGTGATTTTACCTCCGCCTAATTAAAATACATGTATACATGCTGACATTACAAGGCGACCGTTTTCCACGCAAATTTTTACATTAAATGTACAACTTTGCCAAAACGGAATATAAGCTTAAAAATGGCATGGACTTTCAGACCAATAATTTTGTCCATGTTTACAAATAAAAAGGGAACTGCATAGTTTTACAGATTATGTCTGCTTTTAAACGTTTGGTTTATGTTTTAAATCAACACTAAATTGATTAAATTATACTACTTTGGAATTATCTTGTACTGACCTAGGAATAATCTTGGGTCTAAAAGGACAGATTTAAGGGATTTAGCCGTTTTGTGAAATCGGCCCGGGCTATATTGGAATGAATGTGCTGAGATTTAGTTTGGCTTCACCAATGACGTTGAAGAGCCCAATGGGACAGAATTATTTTTAGCAATCCCATTAGAAGAGAGAATCGCTAAAAGACACTTCAAATATGTTTACGCTGACGCGCATTCAAATCAAACAATTGCAACGAAGTCAATTTTGAGAAAAAAATATATTTGGCAAATAATTACGCCTGGAAGATCCCATTTTTTCTGCTGACCGCAGATTACAGGTGGTATGACGTGGTGCTATAACGGGAAAGCTACCGGATCTATTCAAGTTACGTCACTTTTTATATATAAGATTGCCCATAACGTTCCTAATTAGATTATTTCAGACGCTGTTATTTTCATTTTGTTTTACAATGAGTTTACGTTTGACTCCACCCGTGACGTTATAGAGCCAAAGCGGTTCACAAATTGGCGATTTTAGTTGTTAGTATCAATACGTCCACCATGGAGTTGCCCCCGGGTACTGTATGAATACAGATTTGATAAGCAAGATCAATGACCATCCCCGATTAAGTTTCATTTTCAAGAATATAAAGCAAAGAGAAAAGAAATATAATTGACGACGCAGACTTGATGATAATGACGAGCAATAATTTGTTGTCAAAATCAGTCACTAGTTCTAAACTATACCAGATTTTTATGCAAAAGGTAATTTGCTCGGATAAACGAGAGCCTGCATTCGTTTCCGATTGTGGGACCAGCTCGTTGTTGTGGTAAAGCTGACATGCGTCACCTGGGATTTGAACTCGTGACTTTGCGTTACCATGGTTTGCTGACGGCATGGTATACTTTGCAACGAAGCACACTACTGACTGCGCCGTGACTGACCCTACCACCCTCCTTATGTGCGAGTTACCTCTTATAGCATTCAAACGAATTTTTAGAAATTATTTTGAGCCCAAAAGATCACGTTGAATATCTTAGGATTCGAACCCGCACGTATAGCTGTCTACTCATATCCATGCCGGCAGAGTTACCACGGGGCCAGAGAAGCTTCGTTGGTAGGACTCGGATCAAATGGAAACTTTTTACTTTCAGCGGGTGACGTAAGCTCGCCCTTTTGTGTATAGGTAGTTAAATACGTTCTGAGCGTTGCATATGGCCACGGTCAAATTAAAATACCCTTTTTCTGCAATTATAACTTTATCTGAAGAGAGATGATATGTCAAATCATTGGCACTGATACATATATACTGGTAGTTTTAAATATATGATTTGAAGAAATATCAAAGGGTATCTTTTCTCATCTCTCGAAATGGTTCATTTGAGCAGATTTTGTCTGCTATATTTCTTTGCTATATACATGTATAACCTGGTCGTATTCCTTAACCCTCATTTAAATAGTTATGCAATTGCAAGCGCAGCAGCGATACGTCATTATAACATATATCATATGGTGGGCTTAAACGGACTGGGGGATACATAAATAGGCCGGTTTGACGTGAAGGTATGGTTTAAAGCCTGTTTGTGGCTGACGCGATGGTTAATTCCGTTTATTCTTTGGTATGTGGATTTACTTTGAGTCGTATGAGAAACGTTACTAGTGATTTAGTGAGAATTTACGCTCACGTATTAAGTTACTATACGAATAGTTGACATTAGTTTAAAAATACAAAAGAAATTATTAAAAAGTATCGTTACTAATTAGGTTAAAACCAAAAGGCAAACCAAACTCACATTTTTATTTGAAAAATTTACTAGTTTACTAGTTTATAGTTGCCATCAACGAGTATTAGATAACCCAAAGAACCTACGAATAGCTATTTATTTAAAAGTCGAAAGAACTACCATGTAACCAAATACGTAAGCAACATATCCAATACCGAACTCATCTACACTGCAATATCATACCTTGGTTTCAGTGTCAGATCTTTATGCATACTCCAATCATTGTTATTGGTGACTTTGTCGTAACCTCGTGCCACGTGGAACACCATAGAACGACAGGCGTTCGTAGACGCTATGCTCTCGCCGAAGTAATCCTAAGATGATACAGATGGTTTATAAATTAGGTAGATCAGACCCCATTAACGTTAACAAACGGTTGTTACATAAAGCCGAAATTTGTCATTTCAATAACCGAATTAAAATAAATGACTTGAACCAATATTTCATGGACTAATTTCATAAATGCAAGGTCGAACTACAGGTATATACTTTAAGCAACCTTTACTTTTTAATTAAAATTTCATCATCGTAACACTACTAATAAGTATACCAATGCTCCTTCTATCACCATATTTGAACTTAGAAATCCGTCTTAATCCGTTTAGAGCTGTTACTACTATAGTACTTCAGCAGTACAAATAACCATCTTATGTAAAGACTTTAATGTGTGAAATGATATTGATCGTTTTTCTTCTACAGGGTATCTACGTTACCTGAATGGCTGGATAGTCACAAATACGTAATCCGGTGTCAGCGTGACGTTTGTCCACCACGTGTTTTTTGGCTACGTCAATGCAGCCCATAGCAATCCCGCACCAACAGGATGACGACAGCAACAGGAAGTAAGGGTCCACAGTCTCGTCGTTGGAATCAGCTCCATCACCTGAGAGAAATAATCCTGGCTTAGTTTACGTTCTTGTTAATTATATTAACTCCAGGCTTCTTTCCATAATTTCTAAATTTTAAAACAAATTGATATTTTGTATATTGAAATGTACAGGATTGTTAATGTTCAGTGACGCTACATTATGCAGACTGATAAACAAACCTGTAACAAGTGTTTGACTATATAATAGCTTGTGGCACTTATTTGATATACTGCACCTAATGGTCCAATGAGACGGTCCTGCTTCAGAACGCCCTCTGTTATCAGCACACCTGACTGGTTACCATGGAGACCAAGTGCTTTCCAATCGTCAGTATGGGCACGGATCTCATCCTGGACAAATTATTAGAAAGAAATGAGAATATACATAGTCATATGGTGATTCTGCAAACACGTGCTCAAACCTTTGTGACACATAAAGACATACAATTTGGGTTGCAGAAGGGGTTACGTAGAAAAAAATGCCCTGGGAATCGCTGAATTTTGCCTCATCGGCCACGAATATACACAGTGAAGCAAGGCTGACACTTGCACGATTCTGACACTTGCACGACACTTGCACGAATAGTTCACGAACAGCTCACGTATATTGCGTGCCCAAGGCGGCACGACACCGTCCGAATTGCGCAAACTCGTCGTTCCAATGCGGGAAGTGCGCATACTATGCGTGAACTTGTCGTGCCAGTTCGTGTCAATGTGGACACGCATTCGTAAACTATTCGTTAGCTCGTCGTGAACTCGTCGTGAACTATGCGCGAACTAGTAGGGAACAGTGTGGGAGCCTCCCACTTCGTGCCCCAAAATGGCACGACTTGCCACGACAAAATCGGGGCCAAAAGTCGTGCAAGTGTCAGCCTTGCATAATGCACATTGAATAGATTATGCAATATATATCAACCGCCCATGTATATGCCCCCCACCCCACTTGGCAATGCCCACTTACCGGGAAAACTAAGAACACAGACAAGTTGGAATAGTCTCCACCAAAACCAGGGCTGATGGTCTGTATGACGTAGAAGTCCGCAAAACCGGCACTGGTCGTCCAGGAAGCATACTTCAGGAGTCGGAATTGACCGTCTGCCTCTTGCTGGTTTTTGGAGGAGAGAGGAAACCAAAAATGGCCGCCTGAAAGGTACGTTAGCATATAAAGCTCTTTCGACATTGGAATGTATTATATTTTGTAATTTTGGAATATAACGGTGTGAGTCATTTTTTCTAGCTCCTTTGGGTAGTTTTTCAATAAGGACATGACTAGTTTTCAACACGGGACCGGGGAAGCATACAAGAAAGGGCAATGGCGGGAATAAGGAATCATCGCGACTAAATCATAAACTTTTCACATCTGAATGTCAATTTATGAGCACTCTCAAAATCAACAGTATGGGTTGTAACCCGGTCCTGACTTTACCTGTGGCTGGATCGCTGTATGACAAAGTTCCAATTAGTTTATCACGATTCACACGACGAAGAACGTCCTTCACTGCATCGTTGTTGTGATGTCTCAGCAGCAGTGCAGCTAAAGAACCCACGTGCATACCTACAGTAAAAACAATTCAAAGAAATAACATTTTGTTAATCATTATGCTGCCGGTAGTTAAAAATCTGTTCAGCATGTTAAATAAACTTTTTTCTTAGTTTTCCTGATGGAAATTAGTATTAAGTTCTTTATAATGAAAGTAAAGAAAATAAAGAATCTGCTTCTTATTTATTTTACGGGTCCCTGAGGCAAATAGCGGCACAGGCATATTTAAAAAGGAAATGAAAGCACAAACACACACATCCTTATCTTTTTTCATCTATACACTTTTTTATTTTTATGTTGCACAGCCTACCGAACATTGTATGGGTTTTAGACTCAAAGTTAATAGATTATTTATATATCATTATGTGACACGTACAAGTCCAACCATAACGGTGATATAAAGTCTTTATCTAGTTAATCAAAAAAAAAAAAAAAACATGGCTGTACTGAGACATGGTATAACCACAAGTACTCACAATACACCATTGCCGTACTGGGACATCCGTATCGGGCGATTGTTTCCGTTACCATAGCAGCACACACGTGGTTTTCACCCAGCCCGCCAAGTTCCTTCGGTATGATAAGTCCCAGAAGGCCTAGCGAGGCCAGGGCGTCCATGTTGGCTCTTGGAAATGTATACTTCTCATCAGATATTATCTAATAAGAGGACATTATGCCATATTATTTAATGCTTATTCATTTTCGAATGTTTTACTTTTGTTCGTTCAATATCCTGTGAAAGCAATAACAAAGTATGTACATGTATGACTTGGCCTTTACATGACCATGCATGTAAAATACACGTCCTTTTAACTTTGGTAATGCCCCCTACTCCCCCAAAAAGTAATAATCATTAACATATATTTACATTAACATATACACTGATGCTCATAAGTTAAGCAACACCCCGATTTTTTCAAAAGTTTCTTCTATCATGATCATTATTTCATTTGTTGGTGGGGTTATGCATATTTCTTTCATATTTTATAAATTACTTATTCAAATTGAATATTTCTGTTAAATATATACACAACATAGCTTATTGTAATAATCAAAATAACTTTATTAACCAAACGGTACTAAAATATGCCAAACTATGTGTCAAAAAAGTATGCTCACACAGCAAAAAGTACGTGCTGATTAAAACAGCTAATTATGAAAAAATAAAGTTCGATCATCTAAGAATTAGTTTTAATAAAAGAAGACTGTAGATAACAGATGATTAATCGTCTATTATGAAATAAATATCGGGTGTGCCTTCCCAGGTTTTGAACAACAGCTTCACATTTGTCAGGAACCAAATATAGTAAAGAAAAAAGTACTAATAACACTTTTTTCTATACTATGGTTCCTGACATAAAGTACTAATAACACTTTTTTCTATACTATGGTTCCTGACATAAAGTACTAATAACACTTTTTTCTATACTATGGTTCCTGACACATTGTCTCCTGCAACTTGCCACCAAATTCTGCCAATCTTGCTTTGAGAGCCGGTTCCATTCTTCATTTACTGCCTGCTGGACCTCTCTAATGTTTCTAACTGGAGGTTGTCTCTCATTTACTACCCTGTCAATCATATCCTAAGCATGTTATATTACATTGAGAATTGGTTAATATGCAGGCCAGTCCAAATGTGGGATACCGCGCTGTTGCAGCGCGTCTTGCACGGACCATGCTTTCTGGATGGGCGCATTGTCCTGCACCAAAATGATTTTTCTTTCTGGATTTCCTTGAATGTGTGATTTTATGCACCCCAGTGGTATTTCGTCTCTGTATTGTTGACCAGGGCACCTCTCTTGAATGAGGTACGGTGGCAATTTTTCATTGTTTGGCTGATATGAACTGGTCCCAGTGGCATAATCGAACCAGATATCTTCATCTCTTGCGTCGGTTAATATTATTCTACCAGAAAGAGGCTTGTCCAATACATGATGAGTTTGGCGCCATTTTGCTACCAGCTTGGCCACTTGACTTGGTGCTACTTTTTTGTTGCCTTGCAATCTGTCTCTTTGGCACCCCAGCACGATGGCTTCCCATTATTTGCCATCTGATTACCTCGATGAGTCCTCTTCTAACCATTGGTTGGTCCAAAATAACAAATTGTGCCCATGAAACTAGCCAAACTGGAAACTCCTCATGGCACGGCCAAACTGTGTTTTTCGCAAGTGGGACCCCCATTGCATATTCTGTCGTGTCCAACAGTAAACAGTACTCTAATGTCACGGTCTAGTAAGTCAAAGTAAAAATAAGAGAAATATCTAGCTATTGTACAAATTTTGCCTCAATAAAATTTTTGGTTGCTGAGAAATTCGAGAAATAAGAAAGTGTTGCTTAACTTATGAGCATCAGTGTACATATATTAACATATATTTGATTAATTAAGTGCGATTAATAATAAAATCATTGGTTGGAAAATCAATAAGATGAAAGAATTAAATTTCTTAACAATCAAAAGGCGCATGGGACTTCCCGGAAGAAGGGACATTTTTTTTTAAATATCGTTTTTGGAATAAAAGCGGCATTGTAGAAAGTAACTACGATATTGTCAACAATATAATCTAAAATGCGACTGTATTTGTCACCTGATGCATTATTTGTACCACTGTATGGAAATATATTCGTTAAACATATACTGTAGTTAGATTTTGGAAGAATGCCAGCGTGTGATGGACTAGAATGAGTTGCAAAATTGGACGAAGGACCACAGCTCGAGAGGAATATATGGAACATAAAAAACTTGTTTTGCAATAGTTTAAATGTAGTTTACTGGTGTGGATGAAAAAGAGCACGCATACACACGAACACACACACGCACACACACACACACACACACACGCATCAGAATAGCCGTAAAGATTATTTGTGAAACACGCCTTAAGCTGAACCCCTTGACTAAAACTAAAGCTGAACCCCTTGACTAAAACTAAAACTGAACCCCTTGACCTACTTCAATGGCCAGTAAATAGGACCCTGGACGCTCTATTTAGACATCTTGTTTGGATATATACTGCATGTTGCTGCCTTTGGTCTGCAGCACTACCTTCTATATTTTACTGGGCGAACCTGAATATAAGCATGGTGTTCTTTCCGTTAAATTAAGTTATCTCGACATTTACGTATACACGTTTTTCTTAAGTTTCTTCTGATCTTAATTACAAAGTAATGAAGGGATAATATTCCTATTTTCTCTCTCTCTCTCTCTCTCTCTCTCTGTGTGTGTGTGTGTGTGTGCCCGCGCACGCGAGCCAATGTACAGTACCTACCTGGAAGTGGAAATAGTCTTGAGAAAACGCCGTCATCCATTTTAACCCACAAACTTTCATATTGACATGGCGTAAATTTCACACATCAACACTTACAGCATTTGGACGCAAGGTAGTGCGACACAGCTCTATCAGCTTCTTCTGAATCTCCCTTTGCTCCTCCGTCAAGTCCCAGAGAGGGTCGTAGTCGTTCCCTATTCCCCAGAAAGGACGATTTCCCCACATTTTTTCGGCAGACATCGTTATCGATCTAGCTGTCTGCGGCCACTATATGCCGTGTACATATACATTCCCACATACATACACAAAAGCGATGTGACCTGCTATATAGGGATCTATGTTTCATGGCCTGGTCACGCGTTAATGATTTTAAGGTCATCTACTTAAGCGACACTATTTGAGGGCATTTATTCAAGTTAATGTTGGTGTGGACCTTATAGCCAGTAATTCTATATATTCATGAATGTTAATTTTTTAAACTTTGGTGTTTTGTCGAAACGTGTATTTTCATTGGTAACGCTATGTTGTAATAAAAAGTTTAAGAGGGTTACAATGTATTTTATTTATTTATGTTTAATTGGTCTACTTGGGGCATCGCTTGTAAGAAAAAATTACCCTCATTACAGTTAATGGTTCTACTGCAACTTCTACAATAATACTGAAAAGCTACTATGTAATACTAAAAAAATGTACATGTACAGACCTTATAGCCGTTATTTCAAGATACGCATGCTTGTTACTTGTCCTGTTATTTTGGGAGAAGGGAGAGCGATATTTGAGGTTTAGCAGATTTTTATCGTTTTGCCGAAACGTGTATTTTTGTTGCTCACGTTGCAGTGAAAAAGCCATTTGTGGGAGGGAGCGATGTGCAGAACTTGTTTACTGGTTAATGTTTTACGGGACATCATTTATAAGAAAAACAACCTACAATTGAGTGGCTCTACTGCATCTTTTACAGTGATATTGAAAAAAAAAGATCTGATATTATAATCAATTCATTTCTGTTACTGTTAAGGTCGTATGGTGACTACATGTATGGCAAGTACTTCGATTTAAAATATAAAGAGTCAGTTAATCTCCAATTTAAGTTGTAGAGAAAATAATAATAATTTACTGAGATCACTGAATATATCCATATAGCTTTAAGCAGAAACAGAGCGTGACACTGGTATACACAATGTGCATCCATAGTTTGATAGAGTTGTAAGTCAAAGTTTGAGGGGAAGGCAGAGTTAAAAGACAGGAAAATTTATAAAAGTTTTAAAGTAATTTCTGGATGACTATATACACCAGCCCGAATGTACGGGTGTTTCTTTCGAACCAGCAGAATGAACAGATCGACCTACTTTTATATAATTGTACACATGAAGAATGATACAGCTGTCTGCGTTATTCAATATGCCCCGGGCAGACCATAGCGCCGACATGTTTGGCCGTCTCCGTCTATTGCTGGGGCTGGGCTAGTAAGATTGGAAGCCAGGATATCTATTCAGTGTATGTTAGCGGATTAGACGACAAGCTTTGTAGTGGGTCGCCAATTTGACTCTCGGACTAGTTAGTCCCCTATTCTGAATGGGGCCAATAACTTTCTCATTTAATTTTAAAACATTTTTTATAAAACGCCTCGAGGTATTTTTTTATCTTATATATCAAAAAGATGAGCGATCGTTAATGACAAGTAAAAAAACTCATTTGGTGAAATCAAGATATTATCCCACCTGGATGTAAAAATAGTTTTGCGACGAGGGCAGAAGTGAATAAACTCGCTTTTTAGTATGCTTCGCACACAATCTGCCATTGATTAGCTCTACAAACATAATGGAACCAAGAATACACAATGATCAACATATTCAGGGGGGTAGGACGGGAAGAATGCTTGCGCACGGGGGAGGGGAGGGGGTACAAAACTGGCAGTCTGGTTATTTGTGTCGTCACTGGCACTTATCTGGACCCTAAATGAAGAAAAATAAGGTATTTTTAATGAACTGAGAGAGAGAGAGAGAGAGAGAGAGAGAGTGGAAAAGACCAACATTTCACAGTATGAACAACCTCAAAAGATTTCTTTTTTTTTTTGAAAACGTCTTAGGGCAACTTCATCCCTAACCCCTCTCCCTGCTACCTGAAATGTGACACTGCGCGGTAGTCTCGTTTGGGGGGAGAGAAAGATAAACCCTTTATGCAAAGTCGCGCGAGGACAAACACATTGTATTTACCAAGCGACCACATTTCGTAAAATATTTACTTATTCATGTTCCCCCCTTGCAGATCTCTACTTGTATTATAAATGTTTTACCTGTACATAACCGATTGAAGGGCACTTTTTTAACAAAGACTTCACTGTTAAGCATAGACGCACGGGTGGCTGTGGCATTTGGCTTATTGAAAGGAGGGAGGTAAACTGCAAGGTACGTAAAGGCTGTTTGATGTCTTTTTATACCCGGATCACTAAGGGCGTTGTCGTTCCGAAAAACAGAATAGAAATGTTTAACAGTCCAGATACTGCACAGCCAAGTTTCAAGTTTTTATTCAATCTCACAAGTTGAATATTTTGAACATAGAGATACAAATAGAACATTCAACATATAATGCTACACAGAATTACTAATTCAGAGACCAAGAATGCAGTTGAATGTTAATAAACATCCTTTATTGCAATAAGCAATTTTGGTGCTCATGTACACTGTACCGGTATATACATGCACTGGTGTGTGTGTGTGTGTGTGTGCGTGTGTGTGTGTGTGTGTGTTTTAAGAATACACACGTGCACACGCACACGTATTTTTCATTCGTTTTAGGTCAAGGAATCATATTAACAATCACACTCCCTCTCCTATTATACTATTGTGAAAGGTGTGTTGTATCTGCCACAGCACCTTGCGGGTGTTTTGTTGTTACTCTTAAGTCAGGTCAGATTTAAATACCGGTTCTTATGTAAAGACATAAAATCCTAAAATACTGGTGTAGACGGAATAACAACATTAGGATTTTTTGTGTGACTTTGGTGATTTGTACGGCAAGCACTGGCAGATCCAGCAAGGGTTAACTTTAACTTTGTGGAGAGGGGAGTGTGTGTGTGTGTGGGGGGGAGTGGGGCATAGTGCCGAGAATGGGAAATGGTAGACGAGGTTAATTCACCACAATATGTAGAACGCAGAGTGGGAAATACACTGTATAATTTTTTTATCTCATTTCCATTGTAATACGTTTTTGGGGGGATAGTTAATGTTGGTTACAGGTATTGGTAACCGTCAAAGATCCTTTCGTCTAGTCACTCATATTCATTAGCTCGATTAAAACACTCTTATTGCACAATTAAATGTTTCTGCTTTAATATTTCGGCATTTACATAACACAGGCGGGCGTACTCATGGGCTCTTGGGCTACAGTTTCAGACTAATAGTAATACTAATACGTCAAATTGAGACGGTCAAGCGATCGGCTGGTTGCAGATGCCATGCTCGTAGTCATTATTGTCTTTACTACTATAGCCACTAAATCAACTTCCAAATGTTGAAGGACTTTGTAGGTTATCTTAAGAGAACGTGGAATTTCTACATAAAATATTGTTGCGTTCTCAATCTCAGTGACTGTAATTGTTTTAGACATGGGGTTGACGCGCCGGTAGCACGTGCTAGCTAGGCCAGAGACGCAGATTTGGTTTTCTGCTGGACACACATTTGGCTCACAGCCAGATTTCTGCTGGGAGCAGGTTTGGACTCTGTCCAGATTTCTGCCCCGCGGAGATTTGAGTGGTATCCAAATTTCCGCCAATGGAGAACAGGGCGGGTTGTATGCGCTTAAGCTTCTGTTGCATATATATATATATATATATATATATATATATATATATATATATATATATATATATATATATATATTTATAGAGAGAGAGAGAGAGGAGCCAAATAGTCAGGGAAGAGAGTTGTGGAGTGTAGAGAAGTGTAGAGGAACGGGATAGAAGAGGTTTGTTTTACAGTTAGTTTTAGAGTTATGCAGTTAGAGATTTACAGCCTTAGCTTACATTTAAGTTGCACAAGAAATTTCAGTCGTAAGAAGAAATAAAGACTGATGGTGGCAGCATTTGGTTTTACTTTACATACCGATTGTGTTTCGAACAGTTAAAAAAAGAAACACAACAGTATGATTAAATCAGTGAGTGCTACGATAGCGCAGACCACCGACAAGGAAAGGTCAATTGCTAAAAAAGGTCAACAGAAACAAATGCATTTTAACATACACATCTAGGAGATATTACTTTTTTTTTTTTTTTTTTTTTTTGAAAATGTCATGAAAATGTGTGGCATTTTTCGACATAGTTTCTATCCTAACAAGCAAACCAAAGGGGGTGGAAATAACATCGATACATATCACATTATAATTATTATTATTATAATTATTATTATTATTTATACCTCAGTATGGCGCAGGGACATTCCTCACAGAGCACAACAAATCTGATCTTTTCTGGTGAAGCGGGGAGAAAGAAAACCATTGCGGTAGTTGTGATCGTAGCAATCCTGGTAGTACTGGTGGGTGTGGCGGTCGCTGTTCCCGTGGCGCTGAGGATGAACGCCAGGTCAACTGATGCGGCGTCCGTGGAACTTGCGAATAAGGTGTTGGCTGAAACGCCGCTGATCGACGGGTGATGATTATCTCTGTCTATCTCTTCCCCCTCATCTCTCTCTCTCTCTCTCTCTCCAATACGCACACCAGACTGCCCCATTTTCCTCTTTACTTGTGGGCGTGCACGTTGATTAAAAAGAAACTTGAACATTGCTTAGCTACTTGTAATTAAAGGGATGTATATAAAACGAATAAACAGACTTCCACTTTATTGATCGTAAGTTTCTGACGAACGAAATGAGAAGTCCAGATATTGACTTGTGTACATGAACTACGTGAACCACGCCAAGATGGCTAAACAGAGATGGTAGAGACACAAAGAATATGATATATGAAATTGTCGCCTTTTTCTTTCTTGTATTAAATATATTCATGTCTGTAAAGTTATACTGTTCCTGCCGTTGTTTACCGCCTGTGTGTTGTTCCTCTGTCTATTATAACACTAGAAACAAACCCACAATTCTATCAACTTATGACGGTGCACGAACTGTTCATTAGTGGTTTAACAAAACAGGTTTCTTTATGGAAAAGTCTGTCAATTGTATGGATATAAAATAAGAAGGCGCATACACATGGGGCGTATACCAAATACTTCATGGTACGGTATGTACAGTGAAAACTATACTGTGATGTATGTACTGCATGCAAGGAAGGGACAACTTTTATAGCATGGTGACAAGTTTTCTTCTTCTCCCAGCCACAATGACCTCCCTATCAAGTACAGGGTTTTCATGGACAACCAAGTGGAAAGTGTGAATCTTGGACAGAGATTAACTGAAACCACCTTTAAAATTCCACAGACAGACATCCCGCGTCTCCGGTCTGGGAAAGTTGGGGCTCAGGTAAGTTGTTTGAAATTGATTGTTGAAGTATTGTTTGCAAACACGGGTCCTTTAAGAAATATTCAGGACAAATTGTGTAAACCTTTGGTACATTTACATAAGTGGTTAAAGATTTCGTCCTACTGACAACCTAGTAAAGTAGTCGTTCACAAGCGGCTCATGTTGTTTGCTGAGGGGGTCGAGTAAAGGATGAAAGAATGGGTCCGCATTCACAATGAATTTTATTGACGTAATTAATGCGCACCATCTCCTCGTGGACTTTCGCAGAATGCAATAAGATAAACTGACTAACACGTCTACTCCTGGTGTTGAGTAAAATATAGAAAAACTGGTGATTATACAAGTACATTGGGAACAAGAGGATACATGTTATTGTGTTAATCTGATTGCATTCAGCGAGAATCCCCGTGGACTTAATGTGCATTAGCTAGATCAACAACATGCATTGTGAACGGACCCTATGAATTCCTTGCGTGGAGAAAAAAAACCTAGACGCGACATTTTTCGCTTCAAAGTTTAATCAGTGGTCCAAGTATGGGCACTCATTCCCCCTTTCCATCCCCAAAATCTGTGCAACAAGCATATTACATTTTTGTACAAGTACAATAAAACGTAGCTGATTTTCCACTCCAGTGCCTGACCATGTAATAAGAGTGTCCTCGTCTAATATTTTATATTTCCCTCGCTCAGTGTTCGAGTGTTTTAGTCCTTGTCCATCCTTAGCACAATATTTGTTCTGTCAGTATTAACGTCCGGTTTCTTTCAGTTTTGGGCGTGTTATGGCCAATGCTCGTCCCAGTATAAAGACGCTGTAAGGTACGCTCTAGAGCAGATGGACGTCATTATGAGATTCGTCAACCAATATCCTGACACGTTTCAGTTCGTGACATCTGCTGATGGTAAGTAGTGGGAATTCAAAATACCAGTAAGCGCTTGACTGCAAATCCCCCTTTATGATCCTGCTGTGCACCCATCATTCGCTCTTCGTGCTGTCTGATTACAGCTGTCTATAAAACCCCCTCCAAAATGAGAAGAAAAAACCCGCGCTGCCCCTGAAATTCATCTGCTTTGTTTACTGAGACACCATGTGCTACCGTCCTGTTTCCAGTGAATCACCCTTTGTAAACCACCTAATGAAACAGAACACTGAGTGGGTATTTTGCATATTTCGTTAACATTTTCAGGAATTATGAATGCGTTCAATGCTGGTAAAATAGGCAGTCTGATTGGTCTAGAAGGTGGTCACATGATCGACAGCAGCTTGGGAATACTGAGAATGTTTTACAGTCTCGGCGTCCGATACATGACGTTAACACATAACTGTCACACCCCTTGGTAAGGAATTAGTTAAGATAAGTACTGTTTAATGATTGAAAAAAAATATCACTGGTGGATCAATATTTTATTACTTGGCGAAAGCACAAGGATAATCTTAATAATATCAAACAAGAAACGAGGACAACTGATTATGCAATGGGGGATAAAAGAATTTGTATATTTTGGGCTTTTCTCGATTTCTTGATTGTTTAAATATGTTGGGTTTTTCTCGATTCCTTAATTGTGGTATTTATTCATGTTGCTATACTGACGATTTCAGGTCGGACAACTTCCGGTCGGACTGGCCAGTAGACCATGCTAGTTACCAGCCACCGCAAAGTAACGGGCTCTCACAATGGGGAGAGGTAATTGTATATGATGCATGTAGAAACCACTTTTTTGCCTTTTATGATATAAATATATTAATCTTAAATCAATTTTGACTTGCATTAGCTGTATACACCGCCTATTTTACATGTGTCCAATTGAATATTTGGGACCGGAAATAGCCCTGAGTGACGTCATCATACCACATAAGACAGATACATGTAGCAGGTCTGCCAAATTGTCAGTTTGGAATATCCTTGGTAATTGTCTGAACGCTGCTTCAGTTTCGGACAACAGAACCATAATACAAAGAACTATAAATGGGACATAATCTACATCCTCAATTAATCCAGTACCTCTGGCTGAATGTTCCTTTAATTTAAATACTACCTCAAGCTCGACATCACTTTTATGAATTCTTCAAAACGACTTATCGACCACAACCAAATCCCACAAAAGGATATTATTATTATTATTATTATTATTATTATTATTATTATTATTATTATTATTATTATTAATAATTTCCAGAAAGTCATCTTGGAGATGAACCGCATAGGCATGTTGGTGGATATATCCCACGTTTCCAAGGCAACAATGGAAGACGTCCTTCGAGTTTCTCAAGCACCTGTGATATTCAGTCATTCTTCTGCTTATTCGCTGTGCAACCACCCGCGGAACGTGCAGGATGACGTCCTGCGCAAGTTGGTGAGGGTCGGGACTTGAATAAATCGGTGCTCGTACATTGGGAAGAGAGTAGGGAGAGCGGTAGAAGTTATAAATGGTGATTGTGGCTAATAAAACAAAAAGGCGAGTGCGGTAGAGACGTTAAAATGGCGAGTGTGGTAGAGGAATTAAGATGGTGAGTGTGTTAGAAAAGGTCAAAATGGTGAGGATACAAAGTAGCGAGGGTGCCAGAGAAGGCCAGCTGGTAATAACATAGAATGCTAAATGATGGGCCTGGTAGTAGGGAGAAAGTTGTGAATGTGTTAGAGAAGACAAAATGTCGCGCGTGATTTCAGAGACAAATTAGTGAGTGTGACAGAGAAGATAAAATAGTTATGACGGTGCTGTTTGCAAGTGCACTTAATTAAAATATGTCAAAATAGAATATCATACCCATTTCAGAAAACCAACAATGGAATCATTATGGTGAATTTCTATCCCGCTGTTATCAACTGTTACCCTAGCAACCAAACAACAACAACCTTACAGCAAGTAGTGGGTGAGTGTCAACATAATACTGTAATTCATTTTATTTAAATAGCATCCACATTTATACGGATTTATAATATGAATTTCCATCACTTAATATAGAAATAATTTTGACGTTGGATACAAATGATCTATAAGTACAGGCATGACGCCTTAAGTCATTTTGACTTGAAATGACATATCAATTTAGCAATGTCTGCATTTCACAGTACAAATAACATGACTTATTTAAAACGATATCATCCTAAATGCTAGAATATCAATAACTTTCTCAGCTTTGATATTTAATATGATTAATTTAGCAATGGCCAAGTTTCTCATTTCTAATCCATGACGTATTTAAACTTAGACCATTTCAACCATATCAAGACCTTGATCGGAGAAGACTACATTGGTATTGGTGCTGACTACGACGGGATACCGAGGTTCCGTATTGCTTTCCACCTCTTTTTGTTTAGTATGACAACAATAAGCAGAAATGCCTGATTTGGTGCCGTGATGGTACTGTATAAATAACATTAACATCACGACCGTGTGGATACAGAAATTCGTGTCCCTTTCCAATGATTTTTCATTTCTAACAATTTTCTTATTATTATTTCTCCAACGTTCACAAGTGCGTTACTTAACAGTTAAAATAACGGTATATACTTTAGGCTAGCTGAAGTACATGTACAAGTAAGTTTAAATTTCTTCTTACAAAACATGACAGTTTTAATATATGGGGAACGTCATATTATAAAAATCTTCCCGGCAAACACAGAACGTTATCATAACGTTACCCTTTTTTGTTAAATTAAAGTTATAGTAACGTTATACTAACGTTATGTGTTGATTGGGTTACCAGTGTATAATATACTGGCTTTCCTTTCCCTTCACACCAGTGCTCCTGTGGGTCTGGAAGACGTGTCCAAGTACCCGGTCCTATTGGCTGCGCTGGCCGCTGATGGCTGGACAGAAACACAACTGAAGAAACTGGTGGGAGAGAACTTGATCAGAGTGTTCAGAGAAGTTGAAGGGGTACGCTATTGGATCTAATGATTTTTACCAAAATAATTAATTTGATTTAATAGATTAGAACACTGGCGGGCACAATATCTTTTTTAAGCGGAGGAGCGTAGGATTAAAATTTAATTTGTGTCATGGAATCCCTCTGATTTGGAGTTGGGAATGGAAGGGAGGCTGACTTGACTTGGGGGGGTGGGGGGGGGGGGGCAGGCACTCGATCCCCTCCCTCTCTCCCATCCCAACCAGAATCACCATTGCTAGAATAAATATTACGATTTTTGATTTCAGTGCTAATGTGCCTTGCTTACTACATGTTGAAGGTTTGGTTACATTAAGATGACCTTTACTTCAATTTACTACTGTGTGGTTTATTAGGATTGACTTAAGAAAAACCTACTACTGTGTGGTTTTACTAGGATTGACTTAAGAAAAACCTACTACTGTGTGGTTTATTAGGATTGACTTAAGAAAAACCTACTACTGTGTGGTTTTACTAGGATTGACTTAAGAAAAACCTACTACTGTGTGGTTTATTAGGACTGTCTTAAGAAAAACCTACTACTGTGTGGTTTATTAGGACTGACTTAAGAAAAACCTACTACTGCGTGGTTTTATTAGGATTGACTTAAGAAAAACCTACTACTGCGTGGTTTATTAGGACTGACTTAAGAAAAAACCTACTACTGTGTGGTTTATTAGGATGGACTTAAGAAAAACCTACTACTGTTTGGTTTATTAGGATTGACTTAAGAAAAATCTACTACTGTGTAGTTTATTAGGACTGACTTAAGAAAAACCTACTACTGTGTAGTTTATTAGGACTGACTTAAGAAAAACCTACTACTGCGTGGTTTATTAGGACTGACTTAAGAAAAACCTACCACTGTGTGGTTTATTAGGATTGACTTAAGAAAAACATACTACTGTTTGGTTTCATCAGGACTGACTTAAGATTAGCCTACTACTGTGTGGTTTCGTCAGGACTGACTTAAGATTAGCCTACTATTTTGTGGTTTCCTCAGGACTGACTTAAGATTAGCCTACTACTGTGTGGTTTCGTCAGGACTGATTTAAGATTAGCCTACGACAGCATTGTTTCATCACGATTAACTTTATGTTAACCTATCCCTGTGTGGTTACATCAAAACCAAAATGGCTCTTTGGTGACAGTTATTCTTGTATTGCATCACTGCAAAAATCAAACGTGGAATTAATCACAACCTTGGTAAGCTGCATGCTGTAAGTATAGTTTCCATTAAAAGATGGCACCCGCACAAACCCATTGTTTGTCGTATATATTTTTTTAATTGAAAATTTTGCTTTTTGAGGCTTATGAATGATCACAAGAATAAAACTGTAATTTTCCTACATCTCCAGGTGCGTGATCAGATGAAAAGCTCGGCAGTCAATAACGCCATCATCCCCGTAAGTGATCTCGGTAACACCACTGTACCATGTAGAGAGGAACAGATGGAGGGTCTGCGAGGTTACTTCTCTGGTTAATTCGGCCACGGATACAACAGACTAAGATCAAGACTTCAATTTCGAGGGAGAGAGAAAGAGAGAAGGGAGAGCGAAAATACTGAAAACTTTACAAAGTATCTTATACAGCTGTTTTTATGTTCTTGAATTTTAGCTGACTAATTTTACGTGTAATTTTTATTATATGTGCAAATACATACATATATGTCGGCCATGAGAATAAGTTGGGCAGGAGCAGGCCATAACTACAGACAACAGAAAACAAATGGTTTTTACTACGGCTGCAGTAAAAGTTAAATAGATTAACAGTTATATCATTTTGAAATATATTGCCTTTACATAATCAAAAAGATGCCCCCTGGAGAACATCTATATTGTTGTTAAATAAAACGGGTTTGAACACTGATGTTTCAAATAAAGCCCACACAAAAAGTTGACGAAATTAAAAAACAATTTTAGTGTTGCCTTGTGTAATTATGTTTGTTTCTAGTCAGGTATCTACTGAACCTTGTCTATAGTCTAACAAATGGCTATGACAGCATCTATAGTTACTCTCATCTAGTGGGGGAGTTTTATTGTCTCCATGCATCAGTTTGATAGGATAGGATGATGAAAAGAAAATGCCTTTTTGCAGTAACCTTTTTTCGTTTTCGGACCGCACCACTGCCAGTTTAGTGAGGTACCTGTATTTCAAGCAACGATGGCATATTTTATGAAAAATATGTCCTCGTCAAACTATAGGAATGCTGGGGTTTCCAATTCCATACATTGTTCACCCAGACCTGCAGGGCGAAGTACTCATACTTCGCTTTACCTTTTATATATATATATATATATATATATATATATATCTACGTGTGTAATCTATAACATGTTTAAGATCTCCGTTAATAAAATACTTTTGTTTTTGTTTGTTTTGAAAACAGTCTACATACCCACACACTCACTTATCCTTAACTTATTCTATTCCATTTATCATTTTCATCAAAAGATAACATATTTGTTCATTTTTCTATTTGTTCGTAGATTCAAGAGTTTATTGGTATATGTCTAATGAATTGGCACGTTAATGTAAGCCACTGCATGTATATTTCATAAATAATCTACAATCATGACTTGATTTCCCTGACCACGTGTCTGCTATTCCTGTATCTAAGTGTCCCCTTACTATTTTTGAGAAGTATATGTCTTAGACATCATGAAACATGTTCAAGGGGAATGTTTAATATCGTATTTGTGAAAATGATGAATGAAATCGAATTAAAGATTTCTTTCAATATGTAATTCCTTGCAAATGTGCAGCAAATTCACAACAATATGGCAACAAATTAGCAGCAATAAAACTGTTCATTCAAACTCATGCAAATTCGTTTCCGCAAACTAAGTTGTGTCTAGTAAGGTAGTGATGGAACCATCCTTATATTCCAACAAATAGATATGATACTGCTGCAAACCCTTCATTTTACTAGGGGATATCCAGTTGAGGTATATTTTAGATCTGTTCCACATGTGTAAGTGTGTGTAGGAGGGTGTGATGTTTACAGGTACGTGTGTCAGCAGACACAGTGGGTTTTCCTGTGTAAGCATGTGTATGTGTGATTGCGTGAGTGCAAGTTTCCATATAAATGTCTTTTGTTACATGATTTATATAGACTAAATAGGGTTTATTTTAAAGAAATGTGTATCCCCACCGACAGTAATTACGCCGAAGGGTGAAATTGTTCCATTGTTGTGATTGCTGTATTTTTATATGCAGAGTGCTGCATTATATCATATCATGTATCTTTGAATGTATGATTATTAGATGATATAAAAGATAATATCTGTCTTAAAACACCACACCCGATTACACTCTTTGTTATTTTTAATGGAGTGTTTTTTTTTCCTTTATTATATTAGCCTGTTGGTCATTTGGACGTTTCAATTTTAAAATTGACAAGGACTGCAGGGTGGCTTTTCATTATTGTTTTATTTCCCTTTGTTTACTCTACACCATTCCCAAACCTACGGTTTGCTGTTAATTGAGAATACCTTCATGCTGTTACATAATTGCTATAAGCGACCTTCACTAATGTTTATAATGATATAAGTGACATGCAGTAAAGTGTGTTCTTATGTGGTTGTCACAGGTATGACGGACGTGACAGAGATTCCCCCATGATAGAGAGTCTGGTTCCCAGTAATTTGTACAGGCAAGTCACGCCCTAGATTTTGACCCACTTCCGTCAGGTTAACTCTAAACTGTATAATTATATGGGCAGTGCATTCTCTGTTTTGAAGCCTCTCTGTTTCGTCACAACGGTGTGGCAGGAATGCTAGTTCGCTTGGAACCATAGTTCCACCCATTACTTTGTCCAGTTGATATTCGTCCCATATACTAACCCCATACTCCAATTAACCTTAACCTGTAGTTTTAACGTTAAAACGTATGGGACCCCACACATCTATTCCCAAGGACTACCACTCCTGTCACAGTACCAAATTGATGCCTCCTCAATATGAATGTAAACATTTCATAGGGTTGCATGAAGCCATAACAAGTTGTAAACCAAGCTCTTGTGGAGTTTACGCAGATCTGAAAATACTTGTAAGATAATTTCATTCGCTGTGTTACGTTACAAGAATAAAGTAATGATTTTTCTTCAATCAACGGCTAATATTGCCATTGTTGTTTACCTCCAATATGTTGATATCTGTATAAAGTCTCCATAAACTAGAGCATCTTCATCTGGGAAATAACATATCCAGTATATTTTGAATGGAGGCAATTTTACTTGATTGACTCCACCGAAATGTTTTTACTCTAGTGATCTTAAATTCAAATTGCAACTGTCCAAGTCTCATTGAAGGTTTAAGTTCACTCCTGGGATCCCGTTTAACAAAAAAGGCGTGAGATAATTAGAAGTACTTCATTTATATAACAAATCATGCAAAAATGCGGTTAATATTTAAGCCAATGTTTGTTTTAGAAGACAAGTATGAATATAACCTGGGTTGGCGTAGACATAGTTTAGGGTCATAAGGTGAAGACCAAATTCGGGCACTCAGTTTTGTATCAGTGCAATAATTAACATGCAGTCTAGCAGGGCAAATGCGTAGCAAGTTTGGCTTTTTGGCCATACACGGCACGTATCAGCTCGACTCCAAACGGTCCATAGATGTAGATGTCGTCGCTCTTGTATCCAAGCTCATGTAGGGCGGACAGGGTAGTGATTACGACTGCTGGACCGGTGGAGATGATGGTCTTGTTGGTCTTGCCGTTGGCGGGTGGCAGGAACGGTTTCAGGGTGCTGGCGTCGATAAGACCCTCGGAACCGGTCCAAGAATCGTCACACTCGCTAACGCAGAAGGTGAAATCAAAACGACTGTCGCGTTTCCCAAATGCTGTAAGCTCCTCAAGGCACAGCAGCTGCTCCGGCGTCTTGGCGTGGTAGAAGAACTTGACCTTGGTTGTGTCAGAGGGGTCATTGGCGATGCTGCGGATAAGTTGTATGGCAGGCGTGGCTCCGACTCCGGTGGCTATCATGGTCAAAGTATCCAGTTTTCCCGCGGAATATTCAAAACCTCCACATGGACCTCGGCATTCCAGAGTGTCTCCTGAAATAAGGTAAGTGTATATTGTATTTTGTTAGTTGTTTCCACTGCATAAAAACATAACACACGTTTTCAAAATATAGCGTCTGACTTTCTCTGCCTGTCAATAGAAAAATTAAAAAAAGAACGAATATCATGGCATTTGTTTCAGTAAATCAACATCATTAATATTCAGGTTTATGGTGCAAATGAGCAGCGATCCACATGCTTAAGAAAAGTAAATAGGGAGTATTGATGTTTAACCATATACATATCAGTTGATGAGTCACTTTCATTATAATTAAGACATCGTAATCCAATATGTTAACTATTATGTTAGATGAACAATAATGTTACTTTCAGTTTTATGTCCTATAAGAAAAGATAAGTGCACCTACCGATTTTCATATTCTTAACAGCGAGGGAGAACGCGCCATGCGTCTCCAAGCGCAGCCCGAACTCAATCACACCAAACGCACTGGGAGCACTCATGGGCGACAGATAACGCTCGTGGAATTTCCCGCCAACATTGACACGTGCTTGAACATACTGACCGGGCAGACAACCTGAGTGGGCGTCTGGGTCAGGCAGAGCGAATTTTAGTCTCTGGACTTTGTCTGCTTCTTGGATAACCTCTGTTAGCTTTAGGGTGGTAAACGTATCGGCGTTTAAAGCAGCGAGGTGGACTTTACCCGCGGCGTCTTTGAAAGGGCCAAGAGGCAGGGCGGCAGATGTGGAGAAAGGGTCGTCGAAGTCAGTATCTTGGTTCGGCGCAGTGCCGCTGTCTTTGCCCAGCTCTTGCTCACACTCCTTCAGCATTTTGTGCGCAAGCTCCCTCTTTACTTCCGGTTTCAGCTTCTTTAACTCGTAGTTAAGAAGGCGCTTGTTTGCTCTCTGTAACCTATAGATTAAATTAAAAAATGTATGAATGTTTATTTTAATGGAATCAAAAGCAGTAGCTTTTATTTGAAAGAAAGAGAGTTGCCAACTTTCCTCATAACTGTCTTGTTTCAATTCAAACTGTGATTGGTGGCACAAACGAACCGAACACCAAAGATGTTGGGTCAACAAAATTAAGTTGCTAATGGTCTAAAACATTAGTCATTTCTTACTATTTATGATACTAGTGACATATTTCTTTTAAATGGACCACATTAATCTTTCAATTTGAGACAAAACTACATGTAGTACATTGCGTACGCAAGATTTTGATTTTTATGTTAAAGCCAAGTTTTGGTTGCAGGTTCTTTATGTAACCAGCCCCTGGTGTTATGGGTTGGCAAATCAACTCAACCTACCAGTAATCCAGCTGCTCCATACCCATGAGAGCCGTGGTTCCTACCCACTGCCGTGTGACCTCATTGCTCGGACCCATCACCCAGCCGGCCTTAGCGTCTCGGAGAAGACGCTCAATGCCTGCAATAAGTCAATGAAGAGTCGTGTCATTAATTTTATATGTGACCTAACATAGGTAGTTACAGTGTAGTTCAAAGGTTGGTAGTTTAATCGCATTGGGTATAATTCAGCCAGTCTGTTGAATCAAACAGGAATGCCTACCATGTCCTTCTCAATCTGAAAAGACTTCATTCTTGTCATCCACGTTTAGGTGGATTTAAACGATGGCCATCTTTCCAAAGGAGACATTTTGCTCAGGCAAAGCTCGTGTATGTTGTTAATTTCGAACTGAATCTCACCCAATTCTGTTTTGTATCCAGAACCACCGCAGGCGTGAAGCATTACATCGGAAACATGTCCGACATTTTTGGCCGCTGCAAACTTTATCTGCCAGCCCCAGTGCAGGAAGTCTGTTCTGAATTATAGGCACCATGTTTTAGTATTATATCGTTTAGTTGGGAATAAAAATAGGCCTTAACAATTTCAGCTCTTTCCAGAATATATTCATTTTAAGCGATTGAGATGGAAAAAAAGTGTAAACATTTTCAACATTGAGATGATATTCTTATTATATTTACATAGATTCCATGTAGTAGGACAGGTTATTGCACACACACATAGTACTTGTCTAAGCCTCACTTTAACCTTCTCACCTTGGCATGACCTTGAGGTCACTGTGGATGGTCCAATCATTATTATTTGTTGCCAAATCCATTCCATGAGCCACATTGAAAACAAAGGCTCGGCAAGCATTTGTGTCTATGATGCACTCTCCAAAGTAGTCCTAGAATAGAGTAAATCATAATTGTCGTTGAGAAATACACTTGGCAGGTCAGGAAGTACTGGTAGTGCCCCAACAATATACTTTAGTAGCACAATAAAATATCCCAAAGATGAGTTATAGAGTACAAAGCAGCCTCTAGACTTTCAAATGACATCATTCAATCGACGTATCTTTATCAACGGATGTTTATCCCTTCAGTACATTGTATAACAATTATTATACCGTGTAGTTGGGAATAAAAGTAGACCAATTGCTACTCAACCCAATAAAAATGCGATTATAAACCTACGGTGATATATCTTTTAAAGATGAAGGTCCAAAGGAATGGAATCTATTACCGCTGGAAATCCGAGCAATTCAGTCTACCAAACATTTTAAAAAAGAACTCAAAACATACCTTTTTAGGAAATATTTTGATTAACTGTTAATTGGTTGTATAAATCTTGTATTAATTGCATTTAATTGTATGGAATAATGGCTGTTTTACCTAGATTTTATTTATGATATTTTATGTAGTATTATTTATGATATTTTATGTTAAGTCTACTGAACATTTTAAATGGATTTTAGACTTTAAATAAATTTATTATTATTATTATTTATTATTAATATTTTGCCTTACATATAAACTGTTTACCAATCTCACAAATCTCGCTCACGTTTCCTGTACCTTGTTAGGTGAAAAAGTAATTAATATTGCATTTTACTTATGTAGCTTTTGCGTGCTTATTCCAGTTGACTTAAATTTTAGCCCAACAGGACAAAGACAGCGTCGAAGACTGAAGACTTCATCTTTACTGACCAACACGGGTGATGATATTTTGCGTTGTCTAAAAATATGGAAAATCTACATCAAAATCGCAAGAGGACGATATTTAAGTTGCCCCATACATAGTCCTACGGAGGATCACTCGAATCTGAGTATTCAACTGTAAACGCACGTGAATTCAGAAACACGTGCAGATTACGTCATCGTACCTGGATTGTGGGATAGTCGCAAACTCGGAGTCCGGTGTCAGCGTGGTCCTTCTCCGTGGCATGTTTACAAGCAACATCGATACAACCAAAGGCTATACCGTTCCAACAAGAGGCAGTCAGTACCAAGAACCACGGGTCGAAAATTTCATCGTTTATAGCTGCACCTTCACCTGTACAATTAATGAAAGAGATGACTCAAAAATTGTATTCCACCCAGAACTTACACCAGAAAATGTTGAAAATGTCCCACTAGAGATCTTTAAATGAAGCCACATAATGGGTGTACCTGTATTATATAGAAATTAAATAAGCAAATCCTCTCTTAATCAATACATCCCCTATCTAAGACCGTTCGAAAATAATGATTATTATATTAAGTTCTTAATTTCTCATCTTTGCCATTAGGTGAGACACTTAAAATTTAGAAACTGATAACTTAAGAAACTTATAACTTAAATTTTTGTCAACGATTTCGGTTAACGTACATATATACCATGAAGATTAAGGGGGGGAAGCGTTGAATGCCCCTGTACAATTTATGTCAGCTCTATAAATGACTGACGCTCGATCATGTGTGAGTTAAAATGTCAAAAAGAAATTAAATTATAAGGGGCGGAATTTAGATTCATGAATGGGACGTTACATTTCGCCCTTATTTATTCTTAATACATCCGATTGAGAAGAATGGTGCATGTATTATGCAATTTCTCACAAAAATGAATGTCTGACGTACCGAGTTCTCCAACCTGCCTGTCTTGACTAAGCAAGCCCTCTGTTATAAGTGCGCCAGACTGGTTACCACGGAGACCTAGGGATTTCCAGTCGTCTGCATGGGCACGAACCTCGTCCTATAGTTTAAAGGTAACATTTTATGTAATGGGTAAAGGCTGTGGTTTGATGAGTTAGCACAATGAATAAATTATTCAACAGAGACTGTGCTTTTTTGCATATTTTACATGATAACATGTGTATATCGATCGTATTAGCTGCCGTAAAACATTGTTTTAGTGCACGTGTGAATTATGCATTTTCAAAAAACCAAAACAAACAAAAAAAATTTGTGAAGACAAATAGACATAATCGTGTTCTTTCACCACCTATTAATATTGGTTTGTGATAAATCAAATGATATATTTTCAAATTCCGGACAAATATTACTGTCAAGTTTGGAATTTGAACTATACCAACCTGGAACAGTAGAAATATGGAGAGGTCGGAGTAGTCGCCGCCAAAGCCCGGGCTAGTGGTTTGGACGACGTAGAAGTCTGCAAATCCGGCGCTGGTTGTCCAGGAGGCGTACTTTAACATCTGGAACCTGCCATCCTTGGTATACCGGTTCTTAGAGGACAGTGGGTACCAAAAATGTCCACCTAGGAGATATCATAAGTATATATGTCACGTATACCCGCACGAAAACGCAGTAGATACTCCAGCGCAGTAGATTACTGCAATCATACTGCAAACCGCAGTAGACTACTGCAATCATACTGCAAACATGTCTCAAATCTGCTTCGGTATGGAAGCTAATTAGCATATTTGAAACATGCTTCTATTATGCCCCTAATCTACTGCATTAATGCTCCTCTCTGTACAAACATGTGTACTTTTTGGAGTAGAATTGCAGTAGGCTACTGCAAATATGCTCCACACCACTACTGCGTTAATGTTTCTTTGCTACTTCGATACTACTGCATTTTCGTGCGGGTTATAATGCCAATAAAGAAAGACTAAATCTTCAGTTGCTTTTTTGTCTATATCATTCAGATATTACTGATGTTCTGTACCACATCAATTGTATGGCAAATTATAGGTGTTATAAAAAGGCGGGGTAGATAATATAAAAAACCAAAAAATGAAAGTCGCACAGCTATGACTCTTTTAACGAATGAAACATTAAACAAAACCTATTTTATCATGTGTGTAGTCCCCAAAAATAATTAATTAATTAATTAAATAAATAATTAATTAACTAAATACATTAATTAATTAACTAAATAAATACTTGAATTGGGAGATTAATAAATCGATATACCTCGCTCTGCGTTTTTACCTGTAGCGGGATCACTAGCAGACACAGTCCCCACCAGCTTGTCTTTGTCCAGACGTCGGATGACACTTTTGATGAGTTCGTTGTTATGGTAACGGAGTAGGAGACTTCCCACTGCTTCAACGTGCATACCTAAAATGGCATATCGGCATCCAATGTAAAATGAAAGAGGCAGCTAAAATGTTGTTCTAGGGTTCCAACGAGTTAATAATTTTGATAAGAGGTTGTTTTTAAAGTCATTTTTCCAATGTTTTATAAAGGTAAAAAAAATTCTGGAGAACAATACTAAAGTTGATAATGGATACTAATTCTGAAGAATATCCGCGCACGAAAATGCAGTAGTATCGAAGTAGCAAAGAAGCATTAACGCAGTAGTGGTGTGGATCATATTTGCAGTAGAAATGCAGTATAGCCTACTGCAATTCTACTCCAAACAAGTACATAAATTTGTACAGAGAGGAGCATTAATGCAGTAGGTTAGCAGCATGATAGAAGCATGTTTCAAATATGCTAATTAGCTCCCACATCGAAGCAGATTTGAGGCATGTTTGCAGTATGATTGCAGTAGTCTACTGCGCTGGAGTATCTATGCGTTTTCGTGCGGGATATATCTTTTCTTCTTTCTTTTTTTTTTTTTTTTTTTGCATTTCATTGCCCCAGACAAAAAAAAAAAGAAATTGGCGATATTCCAATTTATTTTATCAACTAAAATGCGTTTCCGGCATATAGATGACGTAACTTACAGTAAACCATAGCAGTACTGGGACATCCATAACGTGCAATAGTCTCCACCACCATGGCGGCACACACGTGGTTCTCACCCAGCCCGCCGAGGTCCTTCGGTACAATCAATCCCAGCAGCCCCAGCTCCGCCATGGCGTTCAAGTTTTCTCTTGGGAATTCATATGTCTCGTCATATCTTACCTGGTCGATTACAACGTGTAAATTCAGTGATGAGACTTGAGAATTATATATATATATATATATATATATATATATATATATATATATATATAGCAGTGCTCAGCAAGTAAAAGTAAGGGGTGTATCTCCTGGGCTTAGTGATGTACATGTAGTTATCTGTACTGTTAATATGATTCCATATGCACTGTGCATACAGACACGATATTGCTTTGAAACCATACGATCAAGATAAGGATAAGGATTACACCCTTATCGAATTGGTTCCTACCACAGACAGCGAAAATTCGCGTTAAAATTCACTCTATCATTAGAAAAACCGGACAAAATGAAAATAGAAAAGAAAAGATGAATAATAATAAGAGCATTCCCAGCAGGCAAACGACATTGATTCTACGTTGATTCAACGTTGATCCACCAAAATTAACGTTGATTCAACGGTGAATCATTGTCGTTTGTCTGCTGGGTTAGTACATAACTAATTCATAAACCTGGATTTGGACATCTAAGAGTCAGCTACAATGGATATATGGCATTAAAATAAAAAGACAATTGATACACCTGCATGGAATTTAAATAACACACAACTTCGCCTGCAACTTTGACATTACAGCGTGATGTAATGTCATTTGTATGCTCGACTCACTCGTGCTTTGTATGATGCTATATTAAAAACTCTTTTGAATGTAGTCTCGCGCTATTGAATGTAGTATGGGCTCTTTATAATTTTTTAAAAAAATTACAGTATCACTTTGTTGTTTTACATCACAAATGGTTTAGATTAAAGCCATTTAAACAAATGAATTACAGACACAATTTAAATTCGTGTTGAAATGTAAAAGACACTTACGGCATTTGGTCGCATCGTCGTTCGGCACAGCTCCATCAGCTTGGCCTGCAGTTCCCTCTGTTTATCTGTCAGCACCCACTGATGGTCGTAGTTGAACCCAATCCCCCAGTAAGGTCGCTTACCCCAGGGTTTCTCTGCAAACATATCCATGGTGCTTAAGTAAGATCCGACGATCTTTATAAGTGACGAGTTGTGACGAAATAAGTGCTTCTTTATAGTGTATCTAGCTTATCACCTGATCTACCTTCTAGGAATCCAGTGTCAAGGCTGTGGGTCGTGTGACAGACGCTACGGTGGTGTTAAAGGTGTGATAAGTTTACCGTATGAGACAATCCCATTGGAGGGGTTGTAATCACATGTTCACAGAAAATTAAATTCATAAATCTCACAAATCATAGTAATTACAACTTTATTCATATATCTCTCCTGGTACAGTGCCGCCGGAATCTCCCCTTACCAAATGGCCGTATGGTTTCCCATCCCTGCCCCATATGGTCGAACAATAGAGGCCGTATGATAATTACAGGGTAGGGGAATCCCCAAGCAATCCTTATCGGACACCCAAATTAGTCGGTTTAACGAACACGGTCTGCCCCTTCTTAATTGCCTCTCTTAAGGTTTCTATTATAGCTGATGTATAGAGATTGCTATCGANAACTAAGTGCTTCTTTATAGTGTCCCTAGCTTATCACCTGATCTACCTTCTAGGAATCCAGAGTCAAGGCTGTGGGTCGTGTGACAGACGCTACGGTGGTGTTAAAGGTGTGATAAGTTTACCGTATGAGACAGTCCCACTGGAGGGGTTGTAATCACATGTTCACAGAAAATTAAATCCATAAATCTCACAAATCATAGTAATTACAACTTTATTCATATCTCACTCCTGGTACATGTAATACGAATCAAAATTCCTCAAAAAACCATTTATTGCCGGTATAATGAACTCGATTCATGCAGGGCAGAGGATAAAAAAGACACATTCACGAGTCACTGGAAAGGGGTGCTCCTCACATCAGGCAAAATAATATGAACGTCTCACGTGCCTTGGGAAATAAAAAGTGGATTTCACGGGTTACAAAAATACGTAAAGGGACCGACGTATGGCCCGCATAGTGTCACTTGAAGTGGGCTGGTTTTTCGCCTTTTGTTGGATTTTAACATAAGCATGTACATGGAAACGGCCGGAGGCTCTTGTCATCTTAAAAAGTCTTCCCAATATTTTATCGAACTAGCAGGGTCTATCTCAGAGGAGGTTCTCCGTAAGGCGCGGTCAATGTATTCAGCTAAATTGTCTGGCATGACATTTCGCAGAACAACAGGAACAACATCATGGACCACATGTTTTCCCGACTTTACCCAAGCACTTTAAGCTACAAGGGGGGCATGCCAGACATTTAAATTCCAGCCATTTAAACTGAATGCAAATTAGGGAGAATCCCCGAGGAGAAAGGTCGATCCAGCTAGTACGATATGATTGTAGGAACACTACCTAAAACGTATATTCAACGGATATTTGGGGGTAATACTTAAACCTCACTAACTCCAAGGCAGGACACTTTTCAAAACGCTAGGAAATTCAGTGAACATTGTTGATATGGAATATATATACATATGTTAACGACATTTGGCACTATGTAACCGGGGATAATAACATTAAATGCAAGGTGACCCAAAGGAAAAAAACGGAACTCAAAAACTTAAATCCTACGAAGGTCCATCAAATGTCAAGAAATGTGTTGGAGTTTACCTTCAGTATGTGTATGATCATTCCCCAAAGTTTCAGTTATCTCGGTCGATTTGCTAAAAACTTATCCATATTTTAAATTATGCTCCAAATGGCTTAACGCTGCATTGCGGGCAAACCTGCAAACGTCGCCAAAAATTGTCAATTACTTGCTGTCTTCAGTTAACCAACTGTTTGAGTGGGTTCAGGTTTGGAGAATGCGGTGTCCACTCAATGTCATAATTATTGCTGCTCAATCTCTCCTGATATCGCTTTGTGGCAGTCACTGGGATGATGCAATGGGATAGATGGACAGTGGTTCCAGTTAAAAAGGTCGACAGGGTGCGTCTTACTGATATTAGGGTAAGACACTTTAACATACAGGGTGATACCCCCCCCCCCCAAAAAAAAAAAAAAAAAAAAAAAAAAAAAAAGAAAAAGAAAAAAAAAAAACAGAGCCCATACATTTATTAAATCTGACAAAGGCCCATCAAAGTTTTGCTGGACATAAACGTCAATATGTGTATGAGCATTCCCCAAAGTTTTAGTTATCTTGATCGCTTAACACGAAAGTCATGTTCTCTTTAAAAATATGCCCCAAATGGCCTCCTAGTCATAAGATGCAAACTTGCATATGTCGCAAAAAAATGTCAATTTCTCAAACACTTTTCTACTTCGAGATTTCCCTGAATTTTGCTGTGATTGCTCCCCACAGATCACCAATCAAGTAAGGTTGTTCTGGTACATATTGTCTTTGAGATACCTCCACAGATAAAAATCTGGGGAGGTCCAAGTCTGGTGAATGCGGTGCCCACCCAACATGTGGCACTGATGTGTTTGTGTGTGTGTGTGTGGGGGGGGGGGGTTACTATTCATAAGGCACCACTTGATAGTGGAGAGGCTCCGACTGTTTATTATTATTTCTGTCTTTGCAGCAGTTACAATGTGTATGTAGCACAACGGTTTCTTCATTAAATGGTACATGTAATACCATTCGCTTTAAGTTGATTTATACAGCATTTGTTTGGAAAAATAGTCATAGGTGCCTTTTCCAAGCCATAGTATCAATTTTAGTGCTAACATNTTATTGTTAACAGAAACCAAACAGCGAATGGATGACAATGTTATTTCCATAGTTACCGAGCCAGGCCGTCCGCACAACCCGCAGCAACCCGGAGGGTAAGTAAGGGGAGATTCCGGCGGCACTGTACATGTAATACGAATCAAAATTCCTCAAAAAACCATTTATTGCCGGTATAATGAACTAGATTCATGCAGGGCAGAGGATAAAAAAGACACAGACACATTCACGAGTCACTGGAAAGGGGTGCTTCTCACATCAGGCAAAATAATATGAACATCTCACGTGCCTTGGGAAATAAAAAGTGGCTTTCACGGGTTACAAAAATTCGTAAAGGGACCCACGTATGGCCCGCATAGTGTCACTTGAAGTGGGCTGGTTTTCGCACTTTGTTGGATTTTAACATAAGCATGTACATGGAAACGGCCGGAGGCTCTTGTCATCTTAAAAAGCGTTCCCATAATTTTATCGAACTAGCAGGGTCTATCTATTTAAGAATAGGTTCTCCGTAGGGCGCGGTCAATGTATTCAGCTAAATTGTCTGGCATGACATTTCGCAGAACAACAGAAACAACATCATGGTCTACATGTTTTCCCGACTTTACCCAAGCACTTTAAGCTACAAGGGGGGCATGCCAGACATTTAAATTCCAGCCACTTAAACTGAATGCAATTTAGGGAGAATCCCCGAGGAGAAAGATCGATCCAGCTAGTACGATAAGATTGTAGGAACACTCCCTAAAACGTATATTCAACGGATATTTGGGGGTAATACTTAAATCTCACTAACTCCAAGGCAGGACTCTTTTCAGAACGCTAGGAAATTCAGTGAACATTTTTGATATGGAATATATATACATATGTTAACGACATTTGACACTATGTAACCGGGGATAATAACATTAAACGCAAGGTGACCCAAAGGAAAAAAAAACGGAACTCAAAAACGTTGTTAAATCCTGCGAAGGTCCATCAAATGTCAAGAAATGTGTTGGATTTTACCTTCAGTATGTGTATGATCATTCCCCAAAGTTTCAGTTATCTAGGTCGATTTGCTAAAAACGTATCCATAATTTAAATTATGCTCCAAATGGCCTAAAGCTGCACTGGGGGCAAACCTGCAAACGTCGCCAAAAATTGTCAATTACTTGCTGTCTTCAGTTTACCAATTGTTTGAGTGGGTTCAGGTTTGGAGAATGCGGTGTTGTTGATGCTCAATCTCTCCTGATATCGCTTTGTGGCAGTCACTGGGATGATGCAATGGGATAGATGGACAGTGGTTCCAGTTAAAAAGGTCGACAGGGTGCGTCTTACTGATATTAGGGTAAGACACTTTAACCCCCCCCCCCCAAAAAAAAAAAAAAACAAAAACAAAAAAAAAAAACAGAGCCCATATAAATTTATTAAATCCGACAAAGGCCCATCAAAGTTTTGCTGGACATAAACGTCAATATGTGTATGAGCATTCCCAAAAGTTTTAGTTATCTTGATCACTTAACACGAAAGTTATGTTCTCTTTAAAAATATGCCCCAAATGGCCTCCTAGTCATAAGATGCAAACTTGCATATGTCGCAAAAAATTGTCAATTTCTCAAACACTTTCCTACTTCGAGATATCCCTGAATTTTGCTGTGATTGCTCCCCACAGATCACCAATCAAGTAAGGTTGTTCTGGTACATATTGTCTTTGAGATACCTCCACAGATAAATATCTGGGGAGGTCCAAGTCTGGTGAATGCGGTGCCCACCCAACATGTGGCACTGATGTGTTTGTGTGTGTGTGTGTGTGTGTGGGGGGGGGGGGGGGTTACTATTCATAAGGCACCACTTGATAGCGGAGAGGCTCCGACTGTTTATTATTATTTCTGTCTTTGCAGCAGTTACAATGTGTATGTAGCACAACGGTTTCTTCATTAAATGGTGCATGTAATACCATTCGCTTTAAGTTGATTTATACAGCATTTGTTTGGAAAAATAGTCATAGGTGCCTTTTCCAAGCCATAGTATCAATTTTAGTGCTGATAACTACATATACCATATAAAGGTACCCTCATCTGTAAATATACACCTGTCTGAATGTACGTGTGTTGTTTTCTAACCAGCATAATGAATACATTAACCTTATTTTATAATGCACATAAAGTCTGACAGCTGTCTGTGTTATTCAATATACAGGGGTGAGGTGCGTCAGGCAGACAGTAGTCCCGGCGTGTTCAGCCGTCTTCGTCTATTGCTGGGACTGGTTGGCACCCCACGAGTAACAGTAATCCATTTCCATTGCCTTGTACATATAGCGTAACATTTGTCTCAAATCTTGACCACGATACTTTCGGCGAACCCAGACCAAATGCCTATTTTTATTGGCTTTTACATTTCACTTTTAAACCACTTTTTATAAAACGTGATGAAGTATTTTATCTTATATATCAAAGAGGTGCTTGAACGTTAATTGCAATCAAACACACACAAACACACAGACTCACACACACACACACACACACACACACACACATACACACACGGTATATAACCGATCGAAGCGCACGGTCTCTTGAACAAAGACTTCACTGTTAAGCATAGGCGTATGGGTGGTCGTAACAGTTGGCTTAAGGCCCAGTAACAAATCAGTTGCGATGCATCGGGGATGGGTAAAACCCGGGAAATTTGAACAAAATCTTGAGACAGATCTCACGATTTTGCACCCGTCGGAGGCGCTCTCCGGACGCCTGCGGGCTGTCGCAGATTTTTTAGACATCGCCACACCCGTCGCAGTCCCCAACTTTGAACCTTAAATTTTAAGATTGCTCGCAAGATTTTTCACCCATTTTGGGCATCCCAGACACAATCTCCGATGACCTACGATGCCCTCCGATTAATCGGAGGCGTCCTCCGAATAATCTGAGACTAGTCGCAATATTCTGTGTGGGATTGGAAAATCAGGTTGAGATTCAATGTCTGCGAGTAGTCTCCGGCGCCCTCCGACTGAATCGGAGGCGCCCTGCGACGATTCGTACGCTTTATGTGATCGTCTCCGACGAATCGTACGGTGGAATCGTAGTAAATCGACGTGTATATAAGGGCGCCTCCGACCGGATCGCTAAAAGTTTGAGATGCTCTAGCTGCAGTGCATCATCGGAGATGTAATCGGAGGCGATCGGAGGCTAATCCCACGTTTTTTCGACAAAACCGGGTCAAAATCCTTGAAAAAATCTCAGACAATGTGACTGCTCCACTTTTATTAGGATTATTGCTAGGATTGTTCAAGGATTCTTTATTTTCTACGACGACCCCCGGCCAAAACTAATCCCCGACAGATCGCCGACATTGTGACTGGGCCTTTATTGAATGAGGGGAGGCAGCTTCACACACTGGACAATAGAAGTGTCCCCCCCTGAATCAGAGTAACCTGAAGAGGCGGAATATAAGCAATGTCAGAATATCGATACAGTTGAATTGTTCAGTCAGAACCGTTTCTCTTGTGAAATTTGATGTTAATAAAATGATACCAAGAGCACGACCCACAACCTTTACCCTGGATCCCTAGACGGTAGATCAGGTGACAAGCTAGAGACACTATAAAGAAGCACTTAGTTCGTCACAACGCGTCACTTGTAAAGATCGTCGGATCGCGCTGAAGCACCACGGATATGTTCGCAGAGAAACCCTGGGGTAAGCGCCCTTACTGGGGGGTTGGGTTCAACTACGACCATCAGTGGGTGCTGACAGATAAACAGAGGGAACTGCAGGCCAAGCTGATGGAGCTGTGTCGAACGACGATGCGACCAAATGCCGTAAGTATCTTTTACATTACAACACGATTTTAAATTGTGTCTGTAATTGATTTGTGTAAATGACTTTAATCTAAACCACTAGTGTTGTAAAACAACAAAACGATACTGTAATTTTTTTTACTTTAAAAAGCGCCCAGACTACATTCAAAGGCGCGAGTTTTTAAAATAGCATCATACAAAGCATGAGTAAGTTGAGTATACATATGACATAACGTCACGCTCTAATGTCAGGGGGGGCAGACGAATTTAAATTCCATCCATGTGTATCAATTTTCTTTTTGATGCCATAATTATATCCATAGTAGCTGACTCCTAGATCTCCAAATCCAGGTTCACATTAACAATGCGATGAATTAGTTACTGTATGTACTAATGCCCTTATTATTATTATTCCTCTTTTCTTTTATACTATTCATTCTGTCAGGTTTTTCTAATGGTCGGGTGCATTTAACGCTTTCGCTGTCTCTGGTAAAAAGCAAGCCGATAAGGGTGTCATCCTTTATCATATGAAATCTAAGCTAAGTTAAGCGCTACTGACACACATAACTGCTTACTTAGGCTTCGTTCACATGCAATGTCTATTTTCTAAATTCTATTTTCTATTCGTGGTATGTCTTATGATCACGCTCTGTGCCCTGAATATCCCGCGGCGTAATTACTGGCGGCGCGAGCCAGTTACTATAAGTTACTATAAGCAAGGAGTTATAAGAGAAGGAGTAGAAACGGGACATCAATTATCTCTCTCGTCCAATCAGATCGCAGCGTTCTTTTCAAAGCGGCGTCCTTTGAAATTGGATCCTCGTAACTGGTCTAATCCTCCGCGTGGCTCAAGACGGAGAAGATGAACTAGTGCGCCTACTTCTTGATTTATTCATGTTTATGCGTATATGTGGAAGTTACACTTCGAAAAACGCCAAGCCGAGCGATATAAAGGTGAGTGAGAGTTGATAGTATGCTTTNATAACTCCTTGCTATAAGTAACTGGCTCGCGCCGCCAGTAATTACGCGGCGGGATATTCAGGGTACAAACCGTGATCATAAGATAGCGCGAATAGAAAATAGAATTTAGAAAATAGACATTGCATGTGAACGAAGCCTTACTATCCTCTTCGAACCTTGGTCTCATTTTCACATGGGCAGGTATGAGAATTCAAAAATCTAGATCTAGTAACGTTTTTAATTAAAATCAACTTATTAATACATTTTATGTATTGATTTATTAATGCATTTATTTTTATCTGATTACCCGTGTCGTTTACTCACTTATTGTCAGTATTGTCAGTGTTTTTAATAATTTTAGATATTTTTAAGGCGCAATGAGATGTTAATGAAATGCACCATAAGGAGTAGTTTTAGTAATATATATAATCATAATGGTAACAGGAAGCAAATGTAAGTATGTTGGAGGGAGGGGAGGGGCAGAAATAAATTAGCCACAGAAGAGGAAGACCCTTCTTGCCCCCTTGCTCCCGATATATGTTTGGCAATGCTGAACAAAAGGTTGGGGGGGTTGGCCCCTTAATTAACCCCCGATTAATTGCCATGTATATCATTTTCAGGTCTCATCACTGACCTCTTAATTATCCTCCCGTTCCCACACCTGTGAGTTAAGCGTTATGGTCCTTTGTGGTTCATGTCTGCGAATTATCGCTCAGATTAAATCATAATACCAACAGTTGCCCATGGATATTCGCAAATGAACAACATGCACATAGATTCAAGAAGTTGTAAAGAGATTTACATTCACCAGTTTCATCCCTGAATTTACACCTTATAATCAACCAGGTAAGATATGACGAGACATATGAATTCCCAAGAGAAAACTTGAACGCCATGGCGGAGCTGGGGCTGCTGGGATTGATTGCACCGAAGGACCTCGGCGGGCTGGGCGAGAACCACGTGTGTGCCGCCATGGTGGTGGAGACTATTGCCCGTTATGGGTGCCCCAGTACTGCTATGGTTTACTGTAAGTATAGCGCCATCTTTAGCCCGGAAAAGCATTCTAGTTGATAAAATAAATTGGAATATGGTCCAGTGTCATTTCTTTTTCATCTGGGGCAATATGAAATGCAAAGATTAGAAAGAAGAAAAGATGTTCTTCAGAATAAATGGCCATTATCAACTGTAATATTGTTCACCAATTTTGTTAACTAATAAAGCGTTAACATTACTTTAAAAACAATCAAAATTATTAGCTCGTTGGAACCCTCAAAACAACATTTTAGCTGTCTCTTTCATTTTACATTGGCTTCCGATATGTCAATTTAGGTATGCACGTTGGAGCAGTGGCTACTCTCCTACTACGTTACCATAACAACAAACTCATCAAAAGTGTCCTCCAACGTTTGAACAAAGACAAGCTGGTGGGGACTGAGTCTTTTAGTGATCCCGCTACGGGTAAAAAGGCACATTATCTTTCTATCCGTGTATATATTTATTTAATTATTATTTATTTATATATTTTGGGGACTACACTCGTGAGAAAATCGGTTTTATTTAAGTTAACATAAATCGAAAGAGTCGTAGCTGTTTGATTCCCATTTATTTTCCGTTTATCACATTACATTATCTTTCCCATCTTTTTATACAACACGCATACTTTGCCATACAGCTGATGTGGTATTTTAAATACACATGCCTAGAACATCAGTAGTACTTGAATGATATCGATTAAAAGTTAAAACTATTTCGATTGAAGATTTGGTCGTTAAAAAATTGGCATTACGCGTATCATACATGTATAATTATGATGTTTTCTAGGTGGACATTTTTGGTACCCACTGTCCTCTAAGAACCGGTATAACAAGGATGGCAGGTTCCAGATGTTAAAGTACGCCTCCTGGACAACCAGCGCCGGATTTGCAGACTTCTACGTCGTTCAAACCATTAGCCCGGGCTTTGGCGGCGACTACTCCGACCTCTCCATATTTCTACTGTTCCAGGTTGGTATAGTTCAAATTCCAATCTTGACAGTAATATTTGTCCGGAATTTGAAAATATATCATTTGATTTATCGCAAACCAATATTAATAGGTGGTTAAAAAAACGATTATGCATATTTGCCTTCAAAACATTTTCGTTTGTTTTTATTTTTTTGAACATGCATAATTTACACGTGCACTAAAACAATGTTTTACGGCAGCTAATAAACCTCTAATAAACTGTTACGATATACACATTTTATCATGTAAAATTTACCTAAAAAGTAGTCTCTGTTGAATAATTCACTGTGCTAACTGATCAAACCACAGCATTTATCCATTACATGAAATGGTACCTTTAAACTATAGGACGAGGTTCGTGCCCACGCTGACGACTGGAAATCCCTAGGTCTCCGTGGTAACCAGTCTGGCGTACTTATAACAGAGGGCGTACTTAGTCAAGACAGGCAGGTTGGAGAACTCGGTAATTCAGACATTAACCAAAATTGTTGACAAAATTTTGAGTTTCTCGCCTAATGGTAAAGATAAGAAATTAATAACTTGATAAATTAATCATAAATTTTTGAACGGTTTTAGATAGGGGTGTATTGATTAAGATAGCATTTTTTTTTTTTAATTTCTAGTTGGTGCACCTATTACGCGGCTTCATTTAAAGATTTCTAGTGGGACATTTTCAACATTTTCTGGTGTAAGTTCTGGTTGGAATACAATTTTAGAGTCATTTTTTCATTAATTGTACAGGTGAAGGTGCAGCCATAACTGATGAAATTGGCGACCCGTGGTTCTTGCTACTGACTGCCTCCTGTTGGAACGGTATAGCCTTTGGTTGTATCGATGTTGCTTGCAAACATGCCACGGAGAAGGACCACGCTGACACCGGACTTCGAGTTTGCGACTATCCCACAATCCAGGTACGATGACGTAATTTACACGTCTCTCTGAATTCACGTGCGTTAACTTGAGTTCTAACTTGAGTGATCATCCGTAGTGCTGCGAATGGGGCAGCTTAGATATCGCCCTCTTGCGATTTTGATGTTGATTTTCCATATGTTTAGACAACGTAAAATATTATCTCCCGTGTTGGTCAGTAAAGATGAAGTCTTAAGTCTTCGACGCTGTCTTTGTCCTGTTGGGCTAGAATTTAACTCAAATGGAATAAGTACGCAAAAGCTACATAAGTTCAATTCAGTGTTGATTAATTATTCGCCTAACGAGTTACAGGAAACGTGAGCGAGATTGTATTTCAGGCGAAATATAAATAATTGTACGAAAAAAATGTACTGTACAAATCCGTTGATAAAGATACGTCGATTGAATGATGTCATTTGAAAGTTTAGAGGCTGCTTTGTACTCTATAACTCATCTTCGGGATATTTTATTGTGCTACAAAAGAAGTAACTTGTTGGGGCACTACCAGTGCTTCATGAACTGCTAAGTGTATTTCTCAACAACAATTATAATATATATCTTCTATTCTAGGACTACTTTGGAGAGTGCATCATAGACACGAATGCTTGCCGAGCCTTCGTTTTCAATGTGGCTCATGGAATGGATTTGGCAACCAATAATAATGATTGGACCATCCATAGTGACCCCAAGGTCATGCCAAGGTGAGAAGGCCAAAGTGAGGCTGAGGAACAGGCTACGTTTCAGAGCAGTAACTCGTCCTACTACACGCATTCCAGATATATATAACAAGAAAATCATTTGAACAACATTTCAACATCTCAATGTTGAAAACATTTACACTTATTCCATTCATCTCAGTCGCTTAAAAACAATTCTGGGAAATATTCTGGAGAGAGCTCAAATTGTTAAGGACTATTTTATTCCCAACTAAACGATATAATACTCAAACATGGTGCCTATAATCGCTTCAGATCAGACTTCCTGCACTGGTGCTGGCAGATAAAGTTTGCAGCGGCCAAAAATGTCGGACATGTTTCCGATGTAATGCTTCACGCTTGCGGTGGTTCTGGATACAAAACAGAATTGGGTGAGTTGCAGTTCGAAATAAACAAGATACACGAGCATTACCTGAGCATAATGTCTACTTTCGAAAGATGGACATCGCTTGAAACCATTTAAACGCGGCTGATAAGACTGAAGTCTTTTCAGGTTGTGAAGGACATGGAATGGTATCCCCCTTTTGATTCAAGATACTGGCTGAATTATATGTAATGCGAGCAAACTAACAGCCCTTGACCTAACTACATATGTTAAGTGACATATATAATTAATGACATATTGCAGGCATTGAGCGTCTTCTCCGAGACGGCAAAGCCGGCTGGGTGATGGGTCCGAGCAATGAGGTCACACGGCAGTGGGTAGGAATCACGGCTCTCATGGGCATGGAGCAGCTGGATTTATGGTAGGTTGAGTTGATTTGCCAACCCATAACACCAGGGGTTGGTTACATAAAGCACCTGCAACCAAAACTTGGCTACAACATAAAAAACCAAAATCTTGCGTACACAATGTACTCGTTTTGTCTCAAGTAGAAAGATTAATGTGGTCCATTTAAAAAACATATATCGCCAGTATCATAAAAAAGTAAGAAATGACTAATATTTTAGACCATTAGCAACTGTATCTTATTTAACCAAGATCTTTGGTGTTCAGTTCGTTTGTGCGACAAATCACGGTTTGAATTGAAAAAAGACAGATAAAAGCTACTGCTTTTAATTCATATTTTAATGCATTCAAGCCAAACGCTTTATTTAAATGAATATATATTGTTAAATTTAATTTGTAGGTCACAGAAAACAAACAAGCGCCTTCTTAACTACGAGTTAAAGAAGCTGAAACCGGAAGTAAAGAAGGAGCTTGCGCACAAAATGCTGAGGGAGTGTGAGCAAGAGCTGGGCCAAGACAGCGGCACGGCGCCAAACCAAGACACCGACTTCGACGACCCTTTCTCCACATCTGCCGCCCTGCCTCTCGGCGCTTTCAAAGACCCCGCCGGTAAAGTCCACCTTGCTGCTTTAAACGCCGATACCTTTACCAGCCTAAAGCTAACAGAGGTCATCCAAGAAGCAGACAAAGTCCAGAGACTAAGATTCGCTCTGCCTGACCCAGAAGCCCACTCAGGTTGTCTGCCCGGTCAGTATGTGCAAGCACGTGTCAATGTTGGCGGGAAATTCCACGAGCGTTATCTGTCGCCCATGAGTGCTCCCAGTGCGTTTGGTGTGATTGAGTTCGGGTTGCGGTTGGAGACGCATGGCGCGTTCTCCATCGCTGTTAAGAATATGAAAATCGGTAGGTGCACTTATCTATTCTTATAGGACATAAAAGTGATATTAATATTATTGCTCATCAAACTTAATAGTTAACATATTGGATGACGCTGTCTTAATTATAATGGAGGTAACCTCATTAAACTGATATGGGTATGGTTAAACGTCAACACTCTCCGTTTACTTTTTTATGCATGTGGAACGCTGCGCTTCATTTAAACCATAAGCCTGAATATTAATACTGTAGATATACTTAAAAAATTATGATATTCAAGCTGATTTTTTTATTTTTTCTTCCTTTGACAGACACATAATGTTGGGCGCTATATTTTGAAAATGTGTGTATGTACTTTGTGCCATGGAAACAACTACCAAAAATGCAATGTACACTTACCTTATTTCAGGAGACACTCTAGAATGCCGAGGTCCATGTGGAGGTTTTGAATATTCCGCGGGAAAACTGGATACTTTGACCATGATAGCCACCGGAGTTGGAGCCACGCCTGCCATACAGCTTATCCGCAGCATCACCAACGACCCCTCCGACACTACCAAGGTCAAGTTCTTCTACCACGCCAAGACGCCGGAGCAGCTCTTATGCCTTGAGGAGCTCACAGCACTTGGGAAACGCGACAGTCGTTTCGATTTCACCTTCTGCGTTAGCGAGTGTGACGATTCCTGGACTGGGACCGAGGGACTTATCGACGCCAGCACCTTGAAACCGTTCCTGCCACCCGCCAACGGCAAGACCAACAAGACCATCATCTGCACTGGTCCAGCAGTCGTAATCACTACCCTGTCCGCCCTTCATGAGCTTGGATACAAGAGCGATGGCATCTACATCTATGGGCCTTTTGGAGTCGAGCTGATACGTGCCGTGTATGGCCAAAAAGCCAAACTTGCAACGCATTTGCCCTGCTAGACTGTATGTTAATTGAGGACCACAATGTGGTCTTCCCTTTAAGGTCCCATATTTTGTCATCCTAGTTTATATTCGTAGTTGTCTTCTAAAACAAATATTGGCTTACGTATTAACCACATTTTGCATAATCTGTTGTTTAAAAGAAGTACTTCCAACCAATTTATCTCACACCTTTTTGTGAAAAGGGATCCCAGGACTGATTTTAAACACCTTCACAAATGAGACATGAACAGTTGCAAAAACATTTTGTAAAAACATTTAAGTGGAGTCAATCAAGTGAAATTGCCTCCATTCAAAATATACACTGGATATGTTATTTCCCCGAGGAAGATGCTCTAGTTTATGAAGACTTTATACAGACATTAAAATATTGGAGGTAAACAACAATGACAATATTAGCCGTTGATTGAAGAAAAATTACTATTTTATTCAATATGATTGTTGATTGAAGAAAAATCATTACTTTCTTGTAACACAGCTAATGAAATTATCTTACAAGTATTTTCAGATCTTATGAGCAGCACAACAGCTTGGTTTACAACTTGCTATTGCTTCAAGCAACCCTTTTAAATGTTTACATTCATATTGAGGAGGCATCCATTTGGTACATATATATGTAACATGACATGCATGTGTCATGTTACATATATTATGTAACATGACACATGCAGCCCGGTGTGACAGGAGTGGTAGTCCTTAGGAATGGAAGTGCAGGGTACCATACGTTATAACGTTAAAAGTACAGGTTAGGGTTAATTGGAGTATGGGGTTAGTATATAGGACGAATATCAACTGGACAAAGTAATGGGTGGAACTATGGTTCCAAGCGAACTAGCATTCCTGCCACACCGTTGTGACGAAACAGAGAGGCTTCAAAACAGAGAATGCACTGCCCATATAATTATACAGATTAGTGTTAACCTGACGTATGTGGGTCAAAATCTAGGGTGTGACGTCCCTGTACACATTAATGGGAACCGGACCCTCTATCATGGGGGAATCTCTGTCACGTCTGTCACACCTGTGACAACTACATATAAAACACACTTTACTGCATGTCACTTATATCATTATAAACATAAGTATAGGTCGCTTATACCAATTATGTAACAGCAAGAAGGTATTTTAGTACTCAATCAACAGTAAATCGTAGGTTTGGGAATGGTGTAGAGTAAACAAAGGGAAATAAAACAATAATGAAAGCCACCTTGCAGTCCTTGTCAATTTTAAAATCGGAACGTCCAAATGACCAACAGGCCTATATAATAAAGGGAAAAACCCACTCCATTAAAAAGAGCAAAAACTCGATTGTACTCGAGTGTGGTGTTTTAACGCAGATATGATTTTTATATGATCTTATATTCATACATTCAAATATATATGATATGATATAATACGAAAAAGAGGGTATTGTGCGGCACTCTACATATGAAAATACAGCAATCAAAACAACTGGACAATTTCACCCTCCTGACGTAATTACTGTTGGTGTTGATACACGTTTCTTTAAGATAAACCTTATTTAACCTATACAAACCATGTAACAAAAGCCATTTATATGGAAACTTGCACTCACGCAATCACATATACACACGCTCACACAGGAAAACCCACTGTGCCTGCTGACCCACGTACCTGTAAACATCACACCCTCCTACACACACTTACACAGGTGGAACAGATCTACTCAAACATACCTCAACTGGACATCCCCTAGTAAAATGAAGAGTTTCCAGCAATATTGCTGTGGCAACGAGTGCATGAACAATTATATTACTACCAATTTGTAGCCATATTGCAGTAAATTTGCTGCAAATTTGCAAGGAATTGCAGTTTGCAGCAACATTGCAGCTAATCTGCAGCAAATTCGCTGCAATTTTGCAGCAAGCCTAATATTGTGCTAATGGATATCATGCACACACAGTAACTGAAAACACATCCCTTACAAAAATATTAATCTACATGCCCATACACTCAGAATTCTTTAACTTGTTCTATTTCATTTATCATTTTCATAAAAAATATATTTTAGCATTTCCTTAAAGATGTTATATGATGTCTCAGAAATATACTTTTCAAACATGAAGGGGTCACTTAGATACAGCAGGAACGTGTTCAGGGAAATCAAGTGAAGCTTGCAGATTATTTATGATATATACATGCAATATCTTACATTAACGTGCTACTTTATTAGACATATATCAGTGAACTCTAGAATGTACCTGCAACTAAAATACTAAATCAATACAGATATTTAATATGGAATCTTTATTCCAAATTATTATTCATCAATTTTGTGCTAATTTCTGACTCTTGAAAATAAGGATTTAAATCTTTTTTTAATAAATTTTAAGAATCATCTTGATGTCACTATGAAATCAGTTCTTTAATTGAATTCGGCATTGAAGCAAACAAAAATACATTGCTTATTCTAAGGTATACGGCAGCCATAAAAAGCGATATTTTGGATCTTCATATTTTCCAAATTATAATCTGTAAAAGTGCTAAACGCCTCACAAAGGATCTTCAGATTTCGATACATTGGGCAGGCATCTGGGTAGCTACATCAGTTTGGGTATAACTCTATAATACTGTGCTTTTGATGAAAATGATAAATGGAATAGAATAAGTTTAGGATTGCTTAGTGATAGGGTATGTAGACAGTTTTCAAAACTTCAACACGAAAGTATTTTATTAACGGAGATGTTAGACATATTATAGATTATATACGTAGGCGTATATACAGACGCCTACGTATATAATCTATAATATATACGTAGGCGTATATACAGACGTGACATTTAATATGGAATATTCTTTTTCCAAATCATTTTTCATCAGTTTTTTCCTTTTATGCTGACTGATAAATGAAAATAAGGATTAAAACCGTGTTTTAATAACTTTTAATTATATCTTTGATGTCATTGTGACATCAGTTCATTAACTGAATTCGCCAGAGAAGCAAACAAAAACACATTGCCTATTCTATGTCATACGACAACCATATAAAGAGATATTTTGTATCTCCATATTTTCCAAATTATTGTCTGTAAAAGAGTTACACGCTCCACAAAGGACCCTCATGTCAGTGTCTAGTCACAGTAACGGTTGCTGTTACAACTGACCCCTTCTGGCTGCTACCAGCGCTCTCAAGTGGCAAGGCATTCCTTGGGATAGTTTTTTAGAGTTAAATCTGGAATAACATTCCAGGCATCGGTTAAAATCTGTCCAATTTTGTTGTAGGACATGTAGGCCATTGATTCGGCAAGTAATGTCCTATCCACATATTGTCTATTTGGTTCAAAAATGGCAATTTTGATGACCAAGGTAGCTTCTCATTCCCTAGGTTCTGTAAGTAATCTGCTATTAAAAGTGCTCTGTGTGAACCGGCAATCTCACCGTGCAACCTAAAATTGTTCTTAAGTTGCCCCCTATCAAATGATAGTCTAGTTGTCCCCAGATTATTCCTTTATTTGATCTGGTTCAGGTTTTCGTCGATGACTACCATTGGTGTTTTGGCACCTATGTGGTATCCACTCCAAATACTGACGCTGTCAATGACCCGTGTCACTTTAGACGCGGCACATGCTTCATCGTAGGCCTCTTCTGGATGTCTGTAAACCCTGTTTTGACTAGTTGGGCGGTACAGGTGAAATCTGACATCAATAAGGAAAGCCACGTGGTTTCAGTGTTCTACCCAGAAGCGGTCATGGCCCCCAATTCATTAGAGAAACAGACGACGATGTTTTGCTGTTTACAGTGGGTACCTCGGAGGTCGTCTGGTATTCTAATCTGCTAAAACCAGTTTCGTGTTCGTTAAGGGCCTTGAAAAACGCATTTTGGTGGCAATTTACCCCTCTTTCTGAACGGACTGGGTGGCTTTTGTTTAGTTGGAGCAGCATATCCCGAAAGACAGTGCATCCTGTACCCTGGAGGTAAGATTTCGATGCATTGGGTGTGACATCTGTGTAGGTACATCAAGCTGGGCATTACTCTATAAAATTGTGCGGACCGTTCCATTTGGCGCTATAATCTGTCTGGTAATGTCTATCGTTTTCGCGTCATTCCGCCACAAATTAACAAATTTGTAAAGCACTACTTAGCTCATTTTACGCAATGCAAAACTGACCGCTTGCATGCAAAATTTCAAATTCTTCTATGCAGTAGTTGCCGACATACGGCTACTTTTTTGACAGAACCAAGATTTGCCTAAGCCAAGCACTGACAAGCCCAAAGGAACACTACCCAATTAAATCACCTACCGATTTTCATATTCTTAACAGCGAGGGAGAACGCGCCTTGCGTCTCCAGGCGCAGCCCGAATTCCATCACACCAAACGCAGCGGGAGCACTCATGGGCGACAGATATCGCTCGTGGAATTTTCCCGCCAACATTGACACGTGCTTCCACATACTGACCGGGCAGACAACCTGAGTGGGCTTCTGGGTCAGGCAGTGCGAATTTTAGTAACTTGCTACCCTCGCACGGAGTTAGCAAGAGAGACACGAGTTGTGCAAGATGCACGTCTCAAGCAATGAAGGAACAAGTGCCATTTGCGTGTTGAGTAAGGCGCACGCCCTCACAACTAACGAACAAAGTCGAGAGCACACCGGGAATGCGTCGCACGTGCGACACTCCCACGCCTGGTGTATGAAAGGCGTGCTCACGACGAACGCTTGTGTCTTTACAATGAACATCGACTGTGTAACGTGTACAACAATTTTCAAAATTTTCAAATTTTTTCTCAATTTAGTTTCTGATATGCCTCCAAAATGGAAGAGAAAGAAGCTTACATAGTAGAAAAAAGGGAGGAGGAATAAGAAAAAGGAGGAAAACGGGAAGCAAAACTGGCGTACGCCGTCAGTACGTCACCACAAACGTGTGAGGCAAGTGTGAAGCAAAACTGACGCAAAAGACCACTACTTTCGCCGTGCGTTGTATTCCCTTCGTAAGTGGTGAGTGTGTGCCACGTACACAAGAAGCAAGACAAACTCAAGAAATGAGTACAATTTCCACGTCCATCGCTCCTTGCAATAAGCGTTCTGCTTGAAAGGACATCTCATGTGACCCTTGCGACTCGCAAGACAGACTTTCCTCTACCTCCACGACCTCTGATGTTAATAAAATGATACCAGGAGCACGATACACAACCTTTACCCTGGATCCCTAGACGGTAGCTAGAGACACTATAAAGTGACACTATAGGTGACAAGCTAGAGACACTATAAAGAAGCACTTTGTTCGTCATAACGCGTCACTTGTAAAGATCGTCGGATCGCGCTGAAGCACCACGGATATGTTCGCAGAGAAACCCTGGGGTAAGCGCCCTTACTGGGGGGTTGGGTTCAACTACAACCATCAGTGGGTGCTGACAGATAAACAGAGGGAACTGCAGGCCAAGCTGATGGAGCTGTGCCGAACGACGATGCGACCAAATGCCGTAAGTGTCTTTTACATTACAACACGATTTTAAATTGTGTCTGTAATTGATTTGTGTAAATGACTTTAATCTAAACCACTAGTGTTGTAAAACAACAAAACGATACTGTAATTTTTTTACTTTAAAAAGCGCCCAGACTAGATTCAAAGGGGCGAGTATTTTAAAATAGCATCATACAAAGCATGAGTAAGTTGAGTATACATATGACATTACGTCACGCTCTAATGTCAGGGGGGCAGACGAATTTTAATTCCATCCATGTGTATCTTTTTGATGCCATAATTATATCCATAGTAGCTGACTCCTAGATTTCCATATCCAGGTTCAAATTAACAATGTGACGTCGATGCGATGAATTTGTTACTGTATGTACTAATGTCCTTATTATTATTCCTCTTTTCTTTTATACTATTTATTCTGTCAGGTTTTTCCAATGGTCGAGTGCATTTAACGCTTTCGCTGTCTCTGGGAGGAACCAAGCCGATAGGGGTGTCATCATTTATCATATGAAATCTTGTTAACAGTACGATGGCTACATCACTTAGCCCTGGAGATACACTCTTGCTTAGCACTACTGACACACATAACTGCAAAAAGTATGCTTACTTACTATCTTCTTCGAACCTTGGTCTCATTTTCTCATGGGCAGGTATGAGAATTCTAAAATCTAGATGTAGTAACATTTAAAATTAATTAATTTATTAATATATTTTATGTATTGATTTTTATTTTTATCTGATTATCCGTGTCGTTTACTCACTTATTGTCAGTATTCTCAGTGTTTTAATAATCTTAGATATTTTAAGGCGCAATGAGATTTTTAATGGAATGCACCATAAGGAGTAGTTTTAGTAATATATATATATAATCTTTGTTATTGTTTGCAGTTAGAGAGTCTGTACAGGAGTCGTCAGGCTTTAGTCCTTTTGAGCTGGTGTTTGGACATACTGTTCGAGGCCCATTGAAGTTGTTGGAAGAAAACTGGTTGCAGGAAGATTCAGAAGATGTTAGTTTGTTGGAATATGTGTCCAGGTTCAAGGAAAGATAGCATAGGGCTTGTGAGTTGGCTCATGAGCACCTTAATTCATCTCAGGTCAAGATGAAGAGGTTGTATGATAAAGTTGCTTGTGATTGCAATTTTTGCCCAGGTGATAAGGTCCTGGTGTTGTTACCTATTCCAGGTAGTCCTTTGCAAGCTACATATCGGGGTCCTTATGATATTCTGAAGAAGGTTAATGAGGTTGATTATGTTGTTAAAACCCCCGATCGGCGTAAAGCTACTCAGCTGTGTCACGTTAACGTGCTAAAAGCATATCACCAGAGGTCAGATAAAGTTTTGCCTGTAGGTGTTGTATCAGAATCTAGTCCAGGTGTTGAACTAGAAGAAAAGTGCCCTGTGAGGCTTTGCAATTCAGATATTTTGGCAAATCTCGATGCAAAGTTGAGTCATCTGTCCCCTCTAGAGTCAAGTGAACTGATAACATTTTTGTTGGAGTACAAGTGTGTATTCCCTGATGTGCCTAGCTAGACTCACATAGCCAAGCATGGTGTTGATGTTGGTGATGCAATGCCTGTAAAGCAACATTCTTATCGTGTAAATCCTCAAAAAGTTGAAGCGATGGACAAAGAGGTGTCATACATGTTGAAAAATGTTATTATTGAAGTGAGTCAGAGCGGTTGGGCTTCACCCTGTGTTCTGACACCAAAGTCCGATGGGTCTGTGAGGTTTTGTACGGACTATCGCAAAGTGAATTCTCTGTCAAAAACTGATTCTTATCCCATACCTAGAATGGCTGATTGTATTGACAAGATTGGTAAATGAAAGTACATCACAAAATTTGACTTATTGAAAGGATACTGGTGTGTCCCCCTAGCAGAAAGGGCAAAAGAAATATCAGCTTTCATCTCCCAAAAGGGTCTTTATCAGTACAAGGTCATGCCTTTTGGTATGAAAAAGTCTTCAGCGACGTTTCAACTTATGATGAATGAATGTTTAGCAGATACTGATGGTGTGGATGCATACATAGACGATATTGTAGTGTACAGTGACACCTTTGAACAGCACCTCCTTCTGCTGTGTAAAGTGCTTCAGGGATTGAAGGAAGCACATTTTACTGTTAATTTGGCAAAAAGTGAATTTTGTCAAGCCAGTGTGGTCTATTTGGGACATGTGGTAGGTCACCTAACATAGGGGCACCTAACATACAATTTTACAATTGCACGATAAATATGCCGGTTTACACAGGATATTTTTAATAGATTAACATATAAAATCCAAAACCAAGGGATCGGGCAGCTATCTTGGTCATCGAAATCGCCAGATTTGTGCCACATTTTTAAATGAAAATGGGAAATGAAATAGAATAAGTTAAATGTTTCTGAGTGTATGGGCATATAGATTGATAATTTGCTAAGGATTTTGTTTCATTTTCTATGTGTGCATAATATCCCCAAGAGCAACATCAGGCATGTTACGAAATTGCATCGAATTTGCAGAAGATTTACTGCATTATGGCTAAAATTAGTAGTAATATAAACGTTCACGCACTCGTAAACTTTAAGTTTGCAGCAATATTGCTGCAAAATCTTCATTTTGCTAGGGGTTATTCTGGTGAGGTACATTTTAATAGATCTATGCCACGTGTGTAAGTGTGTTTTGGAGGGTGTGAGGTTTACAGGTACGTGCGTCAGCAGGCACAGTGGGTTTCCATGTGTGGGCGTGTGTATGTGCGGTTGCATGAGTGCACGTTTCTATATAAATGGCTTTTGTCTCATGATTTATATAGACTATATAAGGTTTATTTTACAGAAAAGTGTACCAACACCAACAGTAATTTCGTCAGGAGGGTGAAATTGTCCAGTTATTTTGACTGCTGTATTTCCATATGTAGAGTGCCCCGCCAGATCCTCTATTTCGTATTATATCATATCAAATATCTTTATATCTATGATTATTAGATGATATAAAAGATGGTATCTGCGTTAAAATACCACACTCGAGTACAATCGATTTTTTGCTCTTTTTAATGGAGCGGGATTTTTCCTTTACTATATAGGCCTGTTGGTCATTTGGTCGTTTCAGTTTTAAAATTGACAATGACTATAGGGTTGCTTTTCATTATCGTTTTATTTCCCTTTATTTACTCAACACCATTCCCCAAACCTACGGTTTGCTATTAATTGAGTACTAAAATAACTTCATGCTGTTACATAATTGCTATAAGCGGCCTATACTTATGTTTATAATGATATAAGAGCGCATTCTCAACGAATATAGCCAGGCTTTACAAAGCCGGTGACCTAAAAAATGGCGGACGTACATGAAAGAAAAACCGCCTAATCTTTTAATAGTCTTCCGCCTCTCACACGCCTCCCCACACGTCGTCCCTGCGGGGTACAGTAATTAAATCGCGTCTCCGTTCGCCATGCGGAAGCTACCTGAGAAATATTAAGTGCGCATGCTCATCAGTTAAACTCGTGGTGAAGAAAGCATGGCGGCTGAAGGCGATCGAAGGAAAAAAAGCTCTTCTGTTCTATTATCTTTGAAAACAGAGACGAAAAAGGAATAATTTGGCCCGTAGAGCAGCAATGAATCGACTATCTACGGAGATAATATCACCAGAGATATTCACGGAAATATTAATGTTCGGAGCCGAGATTTAATTACTGTACCCCGCAGGGACGACGTGTGGGGAGGCGTGTGAGAGGCGGAGAGACTATTAAAAGATTAGGCGGTTTTTCTTTCATGTACGTCCGCCATTTTTTAGGTCACCGGCTTTGTAAAGCCTGGCTTAATTCGTTGAGAGTACTAAAATAACTTCATGCTGTTACATAATTGCTATAAGCGGCCTATACTTATGTATAGGCAAGCCTCGCCCTAGATTTTGACCCACTTACGTCAGGTAATCCTAAACTGTATAATTATATGGGTATTGCATTCTTTGTTTTAAGGCCCCTCAGTTTCGTCACAGGAATGGTAGTCCGCTTGGAACTTTCCACCCATTACCTTGACCAGGTGACATTCGTCCTATATGCTTACCTCAATCCTCACCCTTACCTGTACTTTTAACGTTAAAACGTGTGGGAGCCCACACTTCCACTCCTAGGACTACCACTCCTGTCACCTCCCGGGCTTCACGTGACATGTTACATATATATGTACCAAAAGGATGCCTCCTCAATATAAATATAAACATTTAAACGGTTGCTTGAAGCCATAGGAAGTTGTAAACCAAGCTCTTGTGCAGCTCATACAGATCTGAAAATACTTGTAATATAATTTCATTAGCTGTGTTACAAGAATAAAGTAGTGATTTTTCTTCAATCAACGGCTAATATTGCCCTTGTTGTATACCTCCAATACAATCCAATATTTTGATGTCTGTATAAAGTCTTCATAAACTAGAGCATCTTCCTCGGGGAAATAACATATCCGGTTTGTTCTGAATGGAGGCAATTTCACTTGAATGCCTCCACTTAAATCACTATAGTGATCTAAAATTCAAATTGCAACTATTCAAGTCTCATTTGTGAAGGTGTTTAAAATCAGTCCTGGGATCCCTTTTCACAAAAAGGAGTGAGATAAATTAGTTGGAAGTACTTCGCTTAAACAACAAATTATGCAAAATGTGGTTAATATTTAAGCCAATGTTTGTTTTAAAAGACAACTACGAATATAAACTAGGATGACGTAGACAAAATATGGGATCTTAAATGGAAGACCAAATTGTGGTCCTCAGTTTTGCAACGGTGCAACAATTAACATACAGTCTAGCAGGGCAAATGTGTTGCAAGTTTGGCTTTTTGGCCATACACGGCACGTATCAGCTCGACTCCAAACGGACCATAGATGTAGATGTCGTCGCTCTTGTATCCAAGCTCATGAAGGGCAGACAGGGTAGTGATTACGACTACTGGACCAGTGCAGATGATGGTCTTGTTGGTCTTGCCGTTGGCAGGTGGCAGGAACGGTTTCAAGGTGCTGGCGTCGATAAGTCCCTCGGACCCGGTCCAGGAATCGTCGCACTCGCTAACGCAGAAGGTGAAATCGAAACGACTGTCGTGTTTCCCAAGTGCTGTAAGCTCCTCAAGGCATAAGAGCTGCTCCGGCGTCTTGGCGTGATAGAAGAACTTGACCTTGGTTGTGTCGGAGGGGTCGTTGGCGATGCTGCAGATAAGCTGTATGGCAGGCGTGGCTCCGACTCCGGTGGCTATCATGGTCAAAGTATCCAGTTTTCCCGCGGAATATTCAAAACCTCCACATGGACCTCGGCATTCTAGAGTGTCTCCTGAAATAAGGTAAGTGTATATTGTATTTTGGTAGCTTTTTCCATGGCATAAAATATAACAAACGTTGTCAAAAATGTAGCTTCACATTATGTCTATTGAAAAAAAAATCAGTTTGAATATCATCGTAACGTTTTTCGTATATTCTACAATATTAATATTCAGGCGTATGACTTAAATGAAGCGCATCGTTCCACATGTTTAAAGCCTTGATCACAACCGGACGCACGAATTTCAGGATCGTTCGTCCCCTGCCATTTTTGGGTGTTGCGGAGGCCGTAGAGGTCGTAGAGGTATAGGAAAGTCTGCCTTGCGAGTCGCAAGGGCCACATGAGATGTTCTTTCAGGCAGGGCCGCTAATTGCAAGGAGCGATGGTCGTGGAAATTGTACCCATTTCTTGAGTTTGTCTTGCTTCCTGTGTACGTGGCACACACTCACCACTTACGAAGGGAATGCATCGCATTGCGAAAGTAGTGCTCTTTTGCGTCAGTTTTGCTTCACATTTGCCTCACACGTTTGTGGTGACGTACTGACGGCGAACGTCAGTTTTGCTTCCTGTTCTCCTCTTCTTTCTTCTTCCTCCTCCCTTTTTTCTACTATGTAAGCTTCTTTCTCTTGTCTTTTGGAGCCATATTAGAAACTGAATTGAGCAAAAATTTGAAAATTGTTGTACAAGTTTACACAGTCGATGTTCATTGTAAAGACACGAGCGTGCGTCGTGAGCACGCCTTTTATACACCAGGCGTGGGGGTGACGCACTTTGTTCGTTAGTTGTGAGGGCGTGCTCCTTACTCAACACGCAAAGGGCACCTTGCTCCTTCATTGCTTGCGACGTGCATCTTGCACAACGCGCGTATTTCTTGTTAACTCCGTGCGAGGGGAGCAAGTTACGCTTACGGCCTCCCTGTTCGTAGGCTATACGTAGAATCTTTTGAACATGTCCAACATCCTCCGTACGTGCTTACGGGCTGTCTGCGAACTCGAAATTGCGTAAGAAGACCTTGCGTGGGACATGAGTTTCTGCGCAAAATTTGGACGCTACCAGCCCGTAAGAGCCCATACGGCCGGTTGTGACCGAGACTTAAGAAAGGTAAACCGTGGGTATTCATGTCTAACCATACACATATCAGTTTAAAGAGATCGCCTTAATTATAACTAAGACAGCGCCATCCAACATGTTAACTATGAAGTTTGATGAGCAATAATATTAATATCACTTTTATGTCCTATAAGAAAAGATAAGTGCACCTACCGATTTTCATATTCTTAACAGCGAGGGAGAACGCACCATGCGTCTCAAGGCGCAGGCCAAGCTCCATCATACCAAACGCACTGGGAGCACTCATGGGCGACAGATAACGCTCGTGGAATTTCCCGCCAACATTGACACGTGCTTGCACATACTGACCGGGTAGACAACCTGAGTGGGCTTCTGGGTCAGGCAGAGCGAATTTTAATCTCTGGACTTTGTCTGCTTCTTGGATAACCTCTGTTAGCTTAAGGGTGGTAAAGGTATCGGCGTTTAAAGCAGCAAGGTGGACTTTACCGGCGGGGTCTTTGAAAGCGCCAAGAGGCAGGGCGGCAGATGTGGAGAAAGGGTCGTAGAAGTCGGTGTCTTGGTTTGGCGCAGTGCCGCTGTCTTGGCCCAGCTCTTGCTCACACTCCCTAAGCATTTTGTGCGCAAGCTCCTTCTTTACTTCCGGTTTCAGCTTCTTTAACTCGTAGTTAAGAAGGCGCTTGTTTGTTCTCTGTGACCTACAAATTGAATTTAACTATGTAAGTATGTATTTTAATGGGGCGTTTGATTTGTATGCATAAAGATTATGAATTAAAAGCAGCAGCTTTTATTTGACAAAAAGTTGGCAACTCTCCCCATGACTGTGTTTTTATGTACAGACACAGACGCAGGTGATGGCTATATGTACAGACACAGATGTGTCTATACATATAGCCATCACCTGCGTCTGTCATCGCCGTCGTCGCCGTCGTTGCCTTTATCGCCGTCGCAGTGTACTTTCACCGATAACACAATAAGTGGAAAAACATTTTACCTTTTGGCTTGAAACTTACAGAACTGATGAATATTTGTAATACGCAGGTCAAGTTCAAAAAACAGCATGACCAGACCATTTTTATGGAAGTTATGCTTTTTTTCTCACTTTTTGAGCATATGTGCAACACCAATAACATGATTAGTGGAAAACCCTTTTACCTTTTGGCTTAAAACTTACTAAACGGATGAACATTCATAATACGCAGGTCAAGTTCGAAAATCAGCATGATCGGGCCATTTTTACAAAAGTCATGCTGTTTTTACACTTTTTTCAGCATATATGCAACACTGATAATACATTTCGTGGAAAAACGATTGGCCAATTGTCTTGAAATTCACAGGAGTTATCAGTCTTACTAAAACACAGATTAAATTCGAAAATAAGCTTAATCGGTAAAGTTTTTTTTTTTTTTTTTTTTGTAAATAAGTGTTTTTTTTCCTCAGATTTAATTCTTAGGCATGTTAACAATCAATTGTTTAACTAATTAGATATGTAAAGGTGTTCTGTTGACATTTTCTGCATCTTAACAATATTGTTAGTTGATTATATAAAATGATGATAAACCTGTTATTGTGTATTGTGTAATAAAGTGTCAAAAATGGAAATAAACTCATATCTTTATAGTTTGTCAGATTCAATCATTCAGTATGTTCAGAATCTCAGAATGGAGCAAATTGAACATTTAAAATTGTTCTATTGATATTTTCCTATGTCAACAATTTTCTTAGTTGATCATTTAAAAACTAAACAGTAAATCGATTAGTTTGTGTTATGTAAAAAAGTGTTGAAAATGGAAATAAACCGATTTCATTATAGTTATCTCTTGTTTACATTTTGGCATTTCCAAGGTTTGACTCTGAACTTCATGTGTAACGTGCAAATTAGATTGCACTGAGAGTATCGGGGTTAATAATGCCATATAAGGATTCACCGACAAAAGGTTAATGATGGTGGATCCTTATCAGAGGCCACCAACAAAGAACAATAGTAGTTGTGTTAGGGAAGCGGTAGGATCGGCTCATTAAAGGATAATGAGGCTCAGATATCGATTTGATGATCGTAATCGCTAATATATCTTAAGAGTATCAAGGAGAAAAGTCCAGAAAGGACGTTCGGGCAGACACAGATTCGCCAATAGTTTAGCGGTTCTTACGACATCAAACGTATCAAAGTCTGATGAAACTTTAACGAGCTCTCCCCCGCCAAGTATAAAAGGTCGTCTCATTGCTGGATGAGACAGATTGAGAGGGAGAAAGGACATACGAAGATGACGGAGTCCTTAGATCAGCGAACGACTGTAAGACCGACGCTCAGGCCACTTCTAACCTGCATAATAAACTACTAGAGTAATCATTTCGGTTGTTTCGTTTTGAGTCCGTCTCCGGCAAAGGCGCACGACACCAAAGCCTTTACGAACCTCACGAACGATAAAAACACCTAAACTTGAGGGTTACACATGAACCCTCCATAGTGACCATTAAAGAAAAATCATGACACTTACTCTTCTTGACGTACAGCTCAAATAAGAAAACCAGCTCTATTGGATTGTTTTTATTGGATTCATGCTTTTTTTTTTTTTTTTTTTTTTTTTGTGTGAAATTTTCATTTTTCTCAATCTGGCATTTTCTAAGTATGTAGACGCTTAAATAGGCGTTTCTCTGAAACTTTGCCTGTTTTATCCTGAACCCCAAGGCATACCTCAAACGAAACCGTTGAGAAAATAAAGATCAAAGGATATGTTTTTAAGATCACTGAAAGAAAAAAAGCGCAGCATTTTTTTTTTCGTCTAAACTTCTCGCCATTACTCCCCAGTACGTGGGATTCTGGGACTTGCCTCAATTTGCATATGGATGAATACTACTGTTTAGAAGAAGACCCGGATGTCACTGCAAACCAAGATGGAGGGTAGTCCGAGCACACGTGGGTTGAAAGATAGAGGAATAACTCTACGGGATAATGAAAAAGGAAATAAAACGGGAAGTGCAGAAGCAAAGGATGTTACTTTCCTTGGCAGGCTCTCGAGGTAGACAAAGCAGAAGTAGGAACTAAAACTGACACGCGAGAAACTGACAAAAATTCTGCCAGATACGGGTACGATATCTTATCACGTCCGACTCATTTATTGAGAACATATTCAGGGGGCGGATTTAGGCCGTTTTTGGGTCTTCCAGAAGACGGTCAGATTTTCAAGTTTTCATTGACGGGTATATCTAATATTTCTGTCGAAAGGCGGTCAAAAATGTAGGATGATTTTTATGTTGGAGCCAAGTTTGGGTCGCGGGTTCTTTATGTAACCATCTAAGGTGTTATTGTTTGGCAAAATAACTCAACCTACCAGTAATCCAGCTGCTCCATGCCCATGAGAGCCGTGATTCCTACCCACTGCCGTGTGACCTCATTGCTCGGACCCATCACCCAGCCGGCCTTGCCGTCTCGGAGAAGACGCTCAATGCCTGCAATAAGTCAAAGAAGAGCAAGAATAGCCATGTTATTAAATTTATGTTACTCCCCATAGGTAGATAGTTCAAGGATTGTTAGTTTGATAGCATTACGTATAATTCAGTCAGTCTCTTAAATAAAACAAGAATACCATTCCATGTCCTACACAACCTGAAAAGACTTCATTCTTGTGGACCGCGTAGATGGATTCGAAAGATGTTCATCTTTTGAAAGGAGATATTATGCTCAGGCAATGCTCTTGCATCTTGTTTATTTCGAACTGAAACTCACCCAATTCTGTTTTGTATCCAGAACCACCGCAGGCGTGAAGCATTACATCGGAAACATGTCCGACATTTTTGGCCGCTGCAAACTTTATCTGCCAGCCCCAGTGCAGGAAGTCTGTTCTGAAGCGATTATAGGCACCATGTTTTAGTATTATATCGTTTAGTTGGGAATAAAAATAGTCCTTAACAATTTCAGCTCTTTCCAGAATATTCCAGAATTGTTTTTAAGCGACTGAGATGAATGAAATAAGTATAAATGTTTTCAACATTGAGATGTTGAAACGTTGTTCAAGTGATTTTCTTATTATATATAAATGGAATGCATGTAGTACTCAGTAGGACAGTTTACTGCACACAGCCTCACATTGACTTTCTCACCTTGCCATGACCTTGGGATCACTGTGGATGGTCCAATCATTATTATTTGTTGCCAAATCCATTCCATGGGCCACATTGAAAACAAAGGCTCGGCAGGCATTAGTGTCTATGATGCACTCTCCGAAGTAGTCCTAGAATATAGTAAATCATAATTGTTGTTGAGAAATACACTTGGCAGGTCAGGAAGTACTGAAAGTGCCCCAAAAATATACTTCTTTTGTAGCACAATAAAATATCCAGAAGATGAGTTATAGAGTACAAAGCAGCTTCTAAACTTTCAAATGACATCATTCAATCAACGTATCTTTATCAACGGATTTGTACAGTACATTTTTTCGTACACGTTTCCTGTAACTTGTTAGGCTAATAATTAATCAATATTGTATTGTACTTATGTAACTTTTGCGTGCTTATTCCAATTGAGTTAAATTGTAGCCCAGCAGGTCAAAGACAGCGTCGAAGACTTCATCTTTACTGACCAACACGGGAGATGATATTTTGCGTTGTCTATAGATATGGAAAATCAACATCAAAATTGCAAGAGGGCTACATTTTTAAATTAAAGCTTAAAAGCTAAGCTGCCCCATGCGCAGAACTACAGAGGACCGCTCAAGTTAGAATTCAAGTAAACGCACGTGAATTCAGAAAAACGTGCAGATGACGTCATCGTACCTGTATTGTGGGATAGTCGCAAACTCGGAGTCCGGTGTCAGCGTGAGTAGTTACATCCGTACTATACGGGAGAAAAGAATTCCACTTTTTTCTTTTGTTATGTTACATCATTTGAACAATGAAAAACCTATACCGGACAATGGGGATGTTTACAAAATAAACAAACAATTTTTTTAATGTAAACAAACGAGACTCCCTATTTTTGTTTACGTTTCACTATGGTAACGGATGACGTCACAGAACGGGCCTGGGCATGTAGGAGATTTTAAAGAATTACTAAGGAAAAAGGCACAATGTAGTGATAAACAAGTAAATTTGTAAATAAAACATGATTTTATTGAAATACATAATTGCATTGTAAGTTGATCATAGTGAACAGTTGTATATACACATTAAAACATTAAAACAATGTACATAAATGTCTAATTTACTAAAAGATAANGTCATACCTGTCACAACCTCATTCCCTGATGAAATCTGACTGCAAGCAGATGAAATATTGGATGGTAAGATCAAACTAATATAAATAGCTATAGACAAAAGAATCTTCACAAGTCTATGACAGAGATGGCTTTTTAAAATTGTATTCCACCCACAACTTTCACAAGAAAATGTTGAAAATATCCCACCAAAAATGTTGAAATGAAGTTGCGTAAAGGGTGCACCGGTGTGGCAGGAGTGCACGTCCTAGGGCATGCACTGCTTGGAATGGAAGTCCTAGGACATACGTTACTAGGATTCAATGTCCTGAGGACGAAGGCCCCCATGTAACGCAAGTCCTGCGTGTAATAATGCACGTCCTAATGGGACGTGCGTTCCTAATAATTTTGTGACGCGTGTCCTATATAGTTTACACCGAGAAATAACATGAACAAATTGATATAAAGATATGCTAGATTCAAAGACATAATAAACGTTTGCTTTAGTTCATTTTATTTTAATATATTACGATGTTTATATGCATAATTAAGTAACAAAAAACAACATGGTTCCCATCGTTTTTCTTCATTTATTTTATTACGTGTATTTTTCTTGTAGTAAACGCAAATTTTTACATCTGTCATTGCCCTTCTTAGGCCTGTTAATGAGTGAAAATCACTTTACACAAAACACAGGATCTCCGTTCTTAGATTAATTTTTCGGAGGAATTGCAAAATGACCCCAAACTCAATCGAAAGTTGCTCTTGGATAGAGGATTTAAAACAAATCAAGACAGTTTGGAATTTAAAATTATATATAATGTTCTGTTATATTCCTTTGATATTTTGGCATTTTGAGGCTTAAAAAACAAAACGAAAAACAATGTTGTTAGTGTAATAATCACAGTATATAGAACATTATACATTAAAAACACCAATATAGAGTTAGGTACAACAAGTTATCCGAGGTGAAGGTGGGAGGTGAGGGGGGGTCAAAGGTAGGTATCAAACCCAAGTATTTAACAGGCCTCTTCATAAATACTTACCTTATGGTCTTGCACGCAAACCAGTACACAGATGAGCTGAAGTTGCACACCCTCCATTTTTGTCTTATATATGGTTCACCAGAAGAATTTTCATATACAAATTTAATTGTATCATTTAACCGTATTAATGCATAAGGATAAGACTTCCCATTACTGTCATAGGTGTAACAGGAATAAGGCTCCGTTCACATGGAAAATCTATTTTCTAAAAATCTAAAAATCTATTTTCGGAACCTTGTGATCACGGTCTGTGAACTGGATTCCCCGCGGCGTAATTACTGGCATCGCGAGCGAGTTACTTCCAGAGCTGTAATTAATTCTCGGCTGCGCTCGGAGGAGATTCTGATACCTTGATGCATGAGCAGTAGGAAGTAAGAAAGTAAATGGTGGTCGCGGTTGCTTTGAAAAATGTGTTTGTCGATTTTGTGCAACAACAACTTCCCCTTTGACCTTCCTCCAACTTGTTTTGCACTACCACTAGCCATGTTACGCGTCTGTATGTTTGAGTCGTCACAACTAAACTGACGAACTTCACTGCTTACAGATACTACGCTCATGTGTGAATTAAATGATCAAAAAGACATAAATAGATTAACAGAATTTAGATTCATAAACGAGACGTTACATTTCGCCCATATTTGTTACTTATTCATCCGATTGAGATTAACCGCATTTTTATTATGCCATTTCGCACAAGGATGAATGTCTGAATTACCGATTTCTCCAACCTGCCTGTCTTGACTAAGCACGCCCTCTGCTATAAGTACGCCAGACTGGTTACCACGGAGACCTAGGGATTTCCAGTCGTCAGCGTGTGCACGAACCTCGTCCTATAGTTTAAAGGTAACATTTTTTGTAATGGATAAACGCTATGGTTTGATGAGTTAGCACAATGGTTAAATTATTCAATTGAGACTGTAAAATTTATGTATTTTTACATAATAACGTGTAAATCGTATGGGTTTACTAGCCGTCGTACATGTAAAACATGTTAGTGCACGTTTGAATTATGCATTTTCAAATAAACAAAATAAACAAAAAAAATTGAAGACAAAATTAATAGGCATAATCTTTAACCACCTATTAATATTGGTTTCCGATAACTCTAATTACACCTTTTCAGATTCCAGCCAAATATTACTTTTAAAATCGAAATTTGAACTACATCCACCTTGAAAAGCAGAAATATGGAGAGGTCGGAGTAGTCGCCGCCAAAGCCCGGGCTAGTGGTTTGGACGACGTAGAAGTCTGCAAATCCGGCGCTGGTTGTCCAGGAGGCGTACTTTAACATCTGGAACCTGCCATCCTTGGTATACCGGTTCTTAGAGGACAGTGGGTACCAAAAATGTCCACCTAAGAGATATCATAGGTATATGATACGCTTAATGCTATTAAGAACGGATAAACCTTCAATCGAAAACGTTTTAATCGATATTATTAAGGTATTGCTGATCTGGGTATTTGAAATACCACATAAGCCGTATGGCAAAGTATGCATGTTGTATAAAAAGATGGAAAAGATAATATAATGTGATAAACGAAAAATGAATGGAAATAAAACAGCTATGGCTCTTTCGACTTATGTAAACTTAAATAAAACCTATTTTCTCACGAGTGTAGTACGCAAAATAAATAAAAAAAATAATAAAATTACTATAAACACGGATAGCAAGATAAAATGTTTTTTTACCCGTAGCGGGATCACTAAAAGACTCAGTCCCCACCAACTTGTCTTTGTCCAAACGTTGGAGGACATTTTTGATGAGTTCGCTGTTATGGTAACGGAATAGGAGAGTAGCCACTGCTCCAACGTGCATACCTAAAATGACATACCGGAATCCAATGTTAAATGAAAGAGACAGCTAAAATGTTGTTTTGAGGGTCCTACGAGTTAATAATTTTGATATAAGATTGTTTTAAAAGTCTTTTTCACCCCTTTATTAAGTTAACAAAATTGGTGAACCAGAGAAAAGTTGATAATGGATATTTATTCTGAAGAATAGCTTTTCTTCTTTCTAATTTTTGCATTTCATATTGTTGAGGTGAAAAAGAAATGACACTGGGCGATATTCCAATTTATTTCTCCAAACAGAACGTTGCGGTGTGAAAGGAATGGTAGTCCTAGGTCTAGCGTTTCTAGAAATGGATGTCCTAGGACATACGTTACTAGGATTTAACGTCCGTGGGAAAACATTTACTAAGGAATGCAAGTCCCATGGCAAGGAGTGCCAGTCCGGATGGGACCTGTTTTCCTGATTTATACTAGGACTATATGTCCGATTAGACTTTTTCTCTCACACTTAAACGGAAGTCACATATGATAAATAATAATATGTGTGCATTAAAATGGCCTATGTCGTATTACCTTTATTATTTTGATATTCAAAAAATTAATAATGAAAAATAAAACATAAGAAGTTTTAATAAATTTATTTTCAGTTTAGTAGACTTGTTCATTTGTCAGGAAACATGACAAAGCCATAAAAAATCACGCAGAAGTTAAAAACGCAACTTCAGCTGTATACGGATTTGAACTCCCATCTGTCTACATTAAGAAACTGTTCTAGATGCACATTGTTGCACTGCCTAACCACTACGCCAGAAAGACGAACAGGTAAGTCTGCGATTTTACGGAGTAATTGTACCACCAGCGTAGGCGCTGGCGGTACACATGGTTTTAGTCCCGACCCGTATGTTCCGCCGGCTCCTGCGGCTCCGCCGGCTCCTGCGGCTCCGCCGCCAAGTCACCGTTACCGCTTCTCCTCCTAGAAGGTAAGGGCCTCCATACCCATCTCTTGGATTTAGGTCACCTATAATCTCAACTCGTTCCACGTAAAATTTGGGCTTTGTCGGTATTGGGGTCTAGGTGTGGCACTCATTGCAATGCACCCTTGTCCAAAAATGGCAAAATTAAATGCCAATTATCTCCCCTACGGAAGGAATTATGGGAAAAATTTCTACAGACAGCTTTCCAAAAGTCATATGTGTACATTTCAAATATGCCCTTGGATTTGACCTTTGACCTTTATTTCAAGGTCAAACGAAAAAAAAATTATTTGCGGTCTTATTCAGACACCACACAGACTTAACTACTAATATTAATGGAAAGTGTTACCCTTCGGGTCATCTTTCATCTCCGTGAATTTGGGGTCAATCGGTGCATTTTCACGGGA